CCATTTATTTCAATGGATCACTTAAAGAATGGAATCAAAATAGTTACTATCCTGGCAGAAAGTATGATTCGTCTAAAAAGTTTTATCAATTAAAGCATTGTAAGTATAAATGATTCATCTGTACACTAATAAGAGAAGATTACTCATGTTTACATGAATTTTTAGTCTGTAAAGAAAACCAGTGTGAAAATGGTGGAACGTGTCGCGATACTTTAGAAGGTTATAAGTGCCTATGTAGGCCTCAATTTCGCGGGCGCAATTGCTCTATATGGAGATTCGCAAGGCCAGTAAATAATTGTCCTCTCAAATGCTGGAACAAAGGATACTGTGCTTCAGAAAATGGAACTTTCAGATGCGTTTGTAAAGCTGGATTTTCGGGAAAATTTTGTGAAATATATAACGCATGCAGGAAGTGTATGAATATATTTACACAATTTTTAAAACATTCGTAATGGTTGATGGAAATATACGAATTATTTCTTTACTAGCCAAGTGCTTAAATGGTGGAACATGTTATACGAGTACAAGATTACGCATTCCCAAATGTCTGTGCACAGCAGGATTTCGAGGTGAATACTGTGAAGAAAACATAGACGATTGTGAATTCCACCAATGCCAAAATGCCGGAACCTGTATTGATAAAATACAGGTAATCTTTCTGTGGAAACTAATGGAATATCACATCTGAACTATAATGTATATAAATACAGTAGTTGTTACTAATTATAACCATTTATTTCTAGAAATATTCGTGTTGTTGTCCACCTGGATATACCGGGAACCTTTGTGAGAAGAAATTAACGTGTTTCCGGAATGATTGTAAAAACGGAGGAACGTGCATTGTTGTTGGAAGAAGCGAAAGATGTGTTTGTTTGAAGGGATTTGACGGAAGACGTTGCGAAATAAATAATCAGTGCCGTAAGAATCCGTGTTTAAATGACGGAATTTGTGTTCCTTCTTTTCCTCGCTACGAATGCAAGTGTCAGCCGGAATTTACTGGAAGAAAGTGCGCTAAACGTAAGCCATATTTTTTGAGATTATTTAAGAGATAAATTATTATAAATATTACAATACAATATTGTTATTTATAAAGTTTTATTTTACGTTAATTATAAGACCTAACGTTTTAAAGTTTTCTTTGTGTTGGGAGTTAAAAATATATATAAAAAATATCATTAGTGAATTTAATAGTTTATTAAGTGTAAATGTAGTTTAATAAAACAAGTAATTAATAGTATAATTTACAAAAATGTAATATTTAGTTTTAATGAGTATGGCAACTTGAGGATTTCGAGCAAAAAAAATTCAGAAAATCTTTTAAAAAAACTACAAAATAATAATAATAATCATTCTGGTATTATCTGAATATATAAATGAGTATGTTGGCTATACACTCGTAAGCCGTTCGACCAATTGCTACGAAAATCAGCAGTTGCTTCAAATACTTCTAACTTGGATAATATCGTTTCTATTGGATTTTTATAAATCAATTAATTTCTATCTATATTTGAATTGCTTTTTCATACTAGCGTCATCTATTGGAAAACGTTAACAAAAGTAAATATAAGTTTTACAAAAAGGATATAATTTTTAAAAATCCACATCTAATGACTCGGGTTTTTTTCATTTCTGAACGGTTCTTTCTTAATTCTAATAAGCGCCCTCCGGTAGATCAGTGCATAAAACCACGAACTCTGGTAGTTAGTCGTGTGTTTGAGCATGACCGACGCTTAAATATAGTCCACATTCCCATAAAATTCTTCACTGAATGCATCTTCCTGGGCACATTGCTCACGTGTCGCGTTCCCGTAACCAAATAAACCAAACTAATTCTAACCAGTGATTGATTATTATGTCATCGTCACAAAGCCGGGCTACAACTTTTCGTTACAATGTTCTCAATTCTTTTAGTGGTGGTCTTGCATTATACGTCATACTTTTCACGTGGTTTATACAATCTGTTGCAAAATTTAATTAAACACTTAATCATCGCACAAAAGCAATTATTCTAGCATTTTTACAAGATTTCTTTTATTTAAACAAGTCATATTAAGTCTTTCGAACTTTAACGTTAGAAACTTCACATGCGGGGCCTTCGCAACGTGTGTAAGACGGATCACTTTTGAAATAATAATAGTAGACCGGTATTAATTAGTAGTCGTTGACCATCCACACTATCAGGAGGGGGGGTCAACGACTACTTTTGGTGGAATTATTTCGACTTCCTTCCGCAACAATCCGTTCTTTCAGTCGGACCAGCAGTATGGTGACATTCGAATAGAAAAATTACATAATACGAGGTTACCGGCGGGAACAAAATATGATTTAATTGGGTTAATTCGGTAACCAGCAAACGAAATTTCATTCGTTGGCCGATTACCGTTTGATATTCGGCTGTGAAAAGTACAGTTTCTTACAGTTAACATTAGGAAAAATTATAATATCTGAAAAGTTTAATATATATTNGAACCTTTGTGAAAAGAAATTAACGTGTTTCCGGAATGATTGTAAAAACGGAGGAACGTGCATTCTTGTTGGAAGAAGCGAAAGATGTGTTTGTTTGAAGGGATTTGACGGAAGACGTTGCGAAATAAATAATCAGTGCCGTAAGAATCCGTGTTTAAATGACGGAATTTGTGTTCCTTCTTTTCCTCGCTACGAATGCAAGTGTCAGCCGGAATTTACTGGAAAAAATTGCGCTAAACGTGAGCCATATTCTTTGACATCATTTAAGATTAATTAAGAAATAAATTCCTAAGCCGTTCGACCAAGTGCTACGAAAATCAGCAGTTGCATTCAAATATTTCTAAAATGAATAATGACCTGTATATTTGATTACTATAAAATCAATTAATTTCTATCTATATTTGATTTGCTGATTTACACGTATCGTCATCTATTGGCATTACATTAACAAACTAAATATAAATTTTACAAAAAAGGATATAATTTTGAAAATATATATTATGTTCACTCAAATACTGCGACAATCATATACCGCGAAATAGACGCGATTTATAATTACTGCGACAGGTAACGCAGCAATTGCATGAGAGCAATCGAAAGAGTTACCCTGTGAATAGTATAAATATTTAATTTTGCATATTAACAACTTTTACCTGTCTAACACGAATCACTTTTGAAGTATTAATAGTAGACCAATATTAATAGATAGTCGTTGATTATCCTCTCTATCAGGAGGGGTCAACGACTACTTTTGGTAAAATTATTTCGACCTCCTTCTGCAACAATCCGTTCTTTCAGTCGGACCAGCAGTATGGTGACATTCGAATAGAAAAATTACATAATACGAGGTTACCGGCGGGAACAAAATATGATTTAATTGGGTTAATTCGGTAACCAGCAAACGAAATTTCATTCGTTGGCCGATTACCGTTTGATATTCGGCTGTGAAAAGTACAGTTTCTTACAGTTAACATTAGGAAAAATTATAATATCTGAAAAGTTTAATATATATTTTCAATTGCTACCTACTTGACCATTAACTTTGTGCCTTTTCGTATCATCTGAGTATCGCAATAAACGTGACAATGGTAGGCTAAAATCACCAAAGTTCTTATATGGTTTTCGTTTTAACGATTAGTATTTGATTTACATAACTACAAAGGTTGTCTTGCTTATGGATTTACAACACCGAGTGACCAATCTAAGACATTTTATAAATTGTTTATTCCTGTACTGTACACAATTTAAGGAATTTTAAAAATGTGTTAGATTGGGAACTCGGTGTAATAAACTCTTACGTAAGATCCATTTATAAATATGAATCAAATACAGGAAGACCCTGCTTAACGCTGTATCGATTAACGCTGATTCGAAATAACGCGATCTGCTCGAAGCCTAAAAACAAGCTCAAAATTTATGCCGATGCAAATTATCGCGGCATTCGATTGATTCGTATATAATACGATTATTCCCAAATACGAACCAATCAGCAAAGGGTGGCTCGTCGTAGCTCCGTACTTTCCTTAAATCTATGTTTGATTGGTGCAATTTGGAAATAAATATAACATCATGGATATTATAAGAAATATCGACTTGGCTTGGCAAGAATTAACCGATAAATGCACGAAGTGCGGAAGAAGTTATGGCTGAAGGTATCCAAGAATTCTCAACGAGAAGAGCCTATTGTTGTATCGTTAGGTTGACCAAATTGTCAAACTAATCGATACAGCAAGACTAGGAGATGTAGAGGAGCAGGATGCTGATGAGTTACCGCAGGTTTCTGTTAAGTCTGTTCTGTTACCAACGACGACCTTCGAGAACTGGCAGAACAAGGAATTCGTGTAGAACTGGTAAATAGAGATTCTGAAAACAAGCAATCCAAAGAACTTGCAACAGATTTCCTTGGTATAAGTTTGGAAACGATAACCGAAATCGTTGACCAAAAATAAACTTTACATTTCTGTGTCATTTAACATATATTATTATGCAAATTAATATAAAAATATTTTAAAATTAAGGTAAAATCTGTTCATTTTTGGTCGCGTGTTCCCCTTTCCCTATTTACACTGTGTTAAAAACACTTGGTTTAACGCCGTTTCGCTTAGCTCTTTGTCGTCTAGGAACCCATCCCCCGCGTTAAGCTGTATCTTACAGTACTATAATATAATAGAAGGATTAGAAGAAAGAAATAATTCAATAACCTTAATCTTTGCTGTTATTTTTTGTTTGAACAACGCCGGGCTCATCTGCTAGTTTAAAATATAACATGAAATATTAATTTTTCTTTCTAATATTTAAATAGAAAGTGTCAGACAACAGTGAATTTTAAACATAGTCTGGCAAGAATTAAATTAATGTCTGCCTCAATTATCTGGGTTATGTCTGAATATTAATTAAGATTGACGAGTATTTTTTTAATGTCGAAAATTTATTATTTAATTTAAAAACTTAAAATTTCAGAAAGGAGGATGTTGTACGCGTTGAAATTCCAACCAAAATCGAATTATTCAGTGAAGATAAGAGACATTCCTCCATTAAGTGAAATGACAATGTCTTTGTTCGTCAAATTTCCAAATTCTGGCATTTTGAAGACCCCAGGAACAATTTTCTCAATGAAATTCGAAGATGAATATTCTTATGTACCTGAAGGATTTTCTCTCAGTGGCTTTCCATCCGTGAGATTGGTTGCATTCAAAAGGACTTTTGCTTTAACTTACGCAAGGAGGTATCTCTTTTAATATACTGTGTTTGTATATAAAAGTATGTACTCAACGGCTGTGATGTTAGAACACACTGCTCATTCCAATCATATACATACAATAAATTATTAAACCGATATATCAATTTATGTATCTAATATGTATATGGTTTAGTAAGTATTATGATCGATTTAACATTGTACTCGTACTATTAATACAATAGTAAGAACGAATGAATTATAAGCACCTTCGAGGCAGCGGCGTCACTAGAGGAGGGCCAACGTGGGTATGTGCCGAAATGAACCCGTAGCTCGTTATGGCTTGACCGAACCCATAACGAGATAGCTATAAGAAGCCCTTTTAGTGCCCACAGAATGGAGAGTTAAAAGAAAAGGGTAACAGGTATGAGGTTTGCTTCGGACGCAAAAACTGTTCGTTACGGTTCTGATTTGAGGTCCCCTATTTAATTTCTACAAAGGCATTAAGATGAGCCCACACTATGCCAATTTGCAATGCGGAATCGCAGTGGCGCAGTCAAAGTTTGATCTTGAAGAAAACCGAATTGAATGGACAAAAGAAATTTCGAATACGAATTCAGTAAAATTCCAACCTGTGTCCCACAATTTAATTCATAAATAATAATGGAAATACAAGACACGACACGATATAAATAAAATAAAATGAATTTTAATTATGAAAAGATTTCATGAAAATTTACTGGTGTTTCTTTTCTCCTTTTACTTTTTGGGTTTCAGGGTCTTGGTCTCCTCAGGTGCACCACGGGTCTGTACTTAAAATGGCACGATTCGGACGATCGTCCCATTTTATGCGCTTGTGCTATGAAGTAATCGTTCTTCGTCAATCGATTTATATCTAGTTTTCTGCGATTCCAGACTCGCTGAATATAAAGATCGCAATAAGCTTCGTCATCCAATATCAAGTCCTTCATCAAATCACTTTCACTGTATCTGTTTCAACTCTGAAGACTTTGGAGCGTACCTAAAATTTATTTTTTCGACGTTTAAGTCATTGAATTATTCTTAAAATTATTATACTAACAAACCGGCAGAGTCTAGTTGAACGTCTTCTTGTCATACACTTTCGTGAATACATGGCCTTTCGTTGTGTGGAAGGGAGGCGCAGTGTGGGTTTATATTGATAATTTTATGCTCCTAACCGGACGAGGTCCCTGGTTGCGACAATTATATTCAGATGTTAATGCAGTACTCATGAGAAAGACGCAATTTGCTAATAGATCTCGTTGTTAATGCTCTATACTGTTCTATTTGTTTGTTCATTTCCATTCTATCGTTACAACATAGAATGGGATCATATTAAGATTAAATTTGAGATTATTTTATGAACTAAATTTCTGTATTTAAGTAATTTATATAATCACTAATCTGAATGAATGTATTTTTTGTAGTGATTTTTGGCACTCTTTCGTTCTGATGTGGGATGGGAGGATCGATAAAATATACGTTTATTGGGATGGAAATGAAGTGGCGAAAGACAAAACATTCCAATCAGCACGAATTACTAAGTTAAACAGCACTTTGGCTCTCGGTCAAAATCTAATTGTTAGAGGAGAGTCAGAACCATTCTTGGGAGCAATATCGCAGGTAATATTATTATTATATTATTGATTAAATAACAGTAAAAGTGCTCAGCAAGTAAACACAGAAAATAAAACACCTTAATTTGTTGCTAAGAAATATAATTGAAAAACTAACATTTTCAGCCTGATTAACAGGCCATCATCAGGTCTAAAAAACGAAAATGGAACAGATACGTTCCATGTATAGAATACAAATATTTAAATCAAAATTTCGAACAAAAATTTTTAAAAAATATACAAGAGATACGGAAGAATATATAAAAATAACACAAAATAAAATAAAAAAATATAATAAATATTTCAATAAACTAATTCTAGCTTGAGTTTTCAGTGAACTTTTTAATCATGTACTTCCGCGCTGACGACAGGCTCTCAGCATCTTTCGCATTTTAACATCCCTCACGTAGCCTACTCCTATATATTTCAATCTTCTCCGCCGTCATTGATAAAGTGNAATCTTGCTGGAACTGCCACTGATGACCACTAGTCTTTCACCAGACGGAAGTAGATGTCTTTCTATCTGTTGTGTGTATCCTTTAGCATTCTGCCTTCTTTCAGGAGAAGCAATATTTGTTTTCCCAATATGTACTTTGGCGTACACTTCCCTCTCCTTTCTTAAATCACACCAATAGTATTAGCAACTATTACGCCCATCTACATCGAACTTTTCTTATCTGTCCACACTATATTCCTCCACCGTTTCTTCTAGGTCGTGTGATTTCTGTCCCAAATCAGTCTGGCAGCCTGTGTTTATCTGTAGGAGTTGGTTCCGGCTTTCTTTTGCCATATTCTAGATGATTGGCAGAACGAATTACGTTCCAAACTGTCGCCGAGCTTACTCCATATTCGTGTTTTGCAGCAATATTTCTGACAGATGTTGTTCCATTCATAATTTCTCATAAAATTATTCATTTCTTAGGAGAAGCGAGTTATTGTGGCCCTCCAGTATTCTTCTTAACTCCATATTCTTCGCCTAATTTAAAATAATTGCTGATCCTTATCTAGTTTCTTTACGATAAATAAGTTATTTAATGGCGTTGTTTATGAATTAAGGATAGTGCATCGTGATTATTGATGGGTGTAAATCATTTCACAAAAGTAATGTTTAGATTTTCTAGGTAAATATATGGGACACAATGCTTCCAAAAGATTTTGTACGAAAAAAGCGATGTGGACTAAAGGGCAATGTCCTTTCGTGGGATGCCGTTCAGTCTAATGTTTACGGGGATGTAGGCATAGAACAGTATGTGGATCTATGTAAAGGTGAGTGAAATTACTGTTGGAACTATAGACATTGAAAAAATATTTCTGTGGTGATTATTTATTGTTATTTTAACAGGAAAACATTGCAATAAAACCGAATGTTATTGTTACAAACAAAATTTGACGGAATGTAAGTGATTTTTTTCAAAATTTAAATGTGTTTTTGAGTCATTTGTTTCGATACTTTTTGATGTACACAATAAGATTTATATTTTCGGTATTAGCTTATTTATTAGGCATTGTTTAACTTTATAATAGCTGATAAAACATAAATTTGTGGGAATTATTGAAGGTCGTAAAAGCATTATGCTATTTTGGAAGTGTTTATGATAAGGTGAAAAAAACACGGTATCGTTAGTTTGTTTATGGGAGTGAGAATGTATAGCTAGAATTATTGTAATAGTGTACACATTACAGCTACTATATAATTGCGCAGTGTCTTGTTTAACTGCTTACAGAATGAAATTCGCACAGCAGAAAATTATTTTACTTGATTAGTACTTTCAGTTTTATTATAATCATCATTACTTCTACGTTTAACTTCTTAATTACTTAATATTATTAAATAGATCTGATGATAATCTGTAATTTGTACTAGGAAGCTGCATGAGAGGAACCGTGGTCAGGCACTCGAGAAAACTTACAAGATTTTCTTTTAAGTTTTGAAAAGCATTACAATTTGTAATTGTGTTCGGTTTAAGTATTGAATGACAATGGAAGTTACGAATGGAGTCGTGTGATTAGTACTAATAAACCGGAACAATTTAGGGATTGGGACGTGCCGCACAGAAGCACGTGGTACACATCTACAATCGTACATTGAGGGACGAGCTTTCCTTTTAACAATTTTAATCGAGCAGAATTTTCGTAGACAAAATGGAACATATTTATTTGAATGCCAGCGATCGATCTTGATACTTTTTAATCATAAAGCATGCTGCATTCTTTTAGTTGCTATTTTTCAGGCAATGAAACCGTTCCTTTTCAAAAGAGAAAAAAAAATTGAATTGGACAGAGCACAGTGAATTATTAGTTGCGATTCCCCGATCAGTTGGGAACTAAGCAATCACTAATACTTTAATTTTCGCAATTAACGAAAATTTACGTGTAAACGGCGATGTTTATCGTGTTTTATTACTGGTTACCAGTTTACAATTTACCCTAGCAATAAAAAATGTCAGTGTATTTGAAATCCCAAACTGTAATGACAACCTGTCATTACTGTTGTCATGGAATTGCGTTGAATGTAACGATGTGATAATTTTTGCTTAACTATATTAAATACTTTAATATATATAAACGACTTGCTGCATGGTATATTAAAAATGCAAATCCGTCTCTGTAATCCAAAAAACACACTTTGGTAGACGTATCTCACAGCAATTTCTGGTTAGCAAATTATTTTTTATTTTCCATTGAACTACAAATATATTTCGGGTTGGTATAATGTACTCCAACCCCTCCTCAGTGCCAGTTCAAATAAACAAGACATAATAAAACATGACCATGTTATATCATAGAAAATATCCAAATCATAAAAAACACATTTTCTCATTATGTAAATTACAAAACATTCTTTTTTTGTTTTTTGCTCAAAATAGGGGGTGGGAGGGCAAACCTTCCTCATCCTTAACCTGTATCCAAACATAAAATTGTGCACTCCGTGTTAATATACATCTAAAATTAAAATAACCATAACTTTCAACAAACTTCCATTATACTCACAATCATTTAAATTTTTTTAACAGACGCAGTAAAAATTGTTAACATAGTAAAAATTGACATACGTATTTGTAAAGGTTTTGATACACAAACAATATTATTAAAATATACCAATATCAGAATTACTATGGAAAAATTTTCTTACAAATAATTATACCATGTTTAAACATAATTATAACATTTAACGTGTTTCAGCGCCATCTATCAATTCGTACCAACGGTAATCAATTTGCATACCTTCCGAGTTATTTATTAAATTATTTTTTTGTTTTCTTATTTCTAAATACTCTTTAAATTTTCTTTTATAAATATCTTTTTCAAAATGCAAAATTTTCATATTATTACGGTTAATTTTATAATTATTGTTATTTGTATGGTCATACCACGGAGAATTATTGTACTTCAATCTAATGGCCGCTTCATGTTCTTTTATTCTAACATCTAACATGCGCCCTGTTTCACCTATGTACATATGTGGATTCTGACAATCACATTCCAATCCTGTATACAACACCAGCTTTTTTAATTCAATCTGAGCACTGAGGAGGGGTTGGAGTACATTATAACAACCCGAAATATATTTGTAGTTCAATGGAAAATAAAAAAAAATTTGCTAACCAGAAATTGCTGTGAGATACGTCTATCAAAGTGTGTTTTTTGGATTACAGAGACGGATTTACATTTGTAATATATTAAATACCTTACAGCGTAACTGCCATGCTTACGACAACGTGGATTATATAAACGTTCGTAGCGACGATAATCTGTGTCGTCGTATCGGCAGAAATGACAGATAAAGATTATAATTTTCACGACACCACTAACATAAAATAAACCTACCGAATAAATCTTGTAGAAATTGATAAACGTTGAACGTGTACAGCACATACTATACATAAGCTGTATCGATAGAAAATTTATTGCGAAATTAATTGTGAAATTTATGTACGCTTTCAGATGAAAAATGTTTACGGCATTTGGATTTGTGTACTTCGTTTTTATGTTTATACGGAACATGTGCAACTGAAAAACTGTGCGAATGTCGCAAAGGTTTCTATGGAAAGTTTTGCCAATACTGTAATAAATTAATTTATTTTATAGAAAATACACAGAATATTGGAAGATGTAATGAAACGTTGTATGTTCTTTTTTAGATGAAGACAAATGCTTAATAAATAATGGAGGATGCAGTCATTTCTGCAAAAGTTCATATGAGAACGTAACTTGTACTTGTCCACCGAAGATGAAGTTATTAAGTGATGAAAAAACGTGCACAGGTACAGTACATTTTACTGACAATTTTGACACATAAATACGAATTAATTTGAATTGCATTAATTAAATTCCATGCAGAAACAGAAAGATGCGTTATAGGAAATAGGATTTATGCGGTAAATAAACTTTTTAAGTACTTTAAGACGATTTTTTCTTGATTATTTATTTATTAAAATAGAATGGCGATACATGGAGTGAAAAATGCCAAAAGTGTCGATGCAACTTAACCGTTATAGAATGTTTCAATACATCTTGTCCGACATTAAATTGTCGCAAAGTAAGTTTGTCTTTAATTAAAAATGATTTTAAAACTTTCGTGACAATTTGTTTAAAAACATTGATATGTCTTCAAGAATGAATTAATGATACAAGAACCCGGGACATGCTGTACCATGTGTATCTCAAGTAATGATCAATTTTATTATATGTAATCAGTGATGCCACTCTAAAGAATTTTACACTAAGTTCTGTTAGTAACAGAAGATACAATAAGTTTATAGTTTCTTTAAGCAGCAAATTTAATTGTTATTGGAGCAACCGATTCTATAATTTAAATTTTCAGCAATATTTTATGCAATTAGCTTGAGTTTTCGTTAGAAATTCGAATATACTCCCGATGTATAGCAATTATCTTAGTTTTCAGTATCTTATTGAAACTGTTTGAGTGATATCACTGCACTTATTTTTTTATTTTATATTTATTTTATAACGAATAATGACACGCCAATTTAGATTCACGCTACTGTGGTATCAACAATAACAAGTTCGTAACATTCGATTTGGTGTCATTTACTCACAAAGGAATGTGCCAGTATGCGCTTCTACACGATTGCTTTGAAGGACAATTCAGCATTAGATACGAAAAGTCGGGAAGTAACACCACACAAAACGATTTCATCATTATTGCTAATTGTGCAAAGTTGAGGATCACAGCAGAGGGCGCATGTATCATTGACGACGAAAAGATAGAACTTCCATACGCCATAAATACTAACATACGAATTATCAGAGATAAATTGGATAATTCTTTAACAATTTCGACTAAATCGTACGTCACCTTCATTTGGTACTCATCTACAAAGGTTAAAATATTTATAAACCAAAAACGGAAAGCGAAAGTTTGTGGATTGTGTGGGAATTTTAACGACGACAAAGAGGATGATGAGGCAACTCTGCCTTCAAAACTGATCTGGGTAACGATTAATTTCAGATTAAATTAGAGATTTCTAGTATTAACGTGCAAGATATAAAAACACTGAAACTGTTTCAGCCATCCACTTACAATAAGGAGAAATGTGGAAAAATCTTGACAGTGGATAATCGAACAGAACTGCCCACGGGACATGGACAAGACTACACGCAGGAATCAGATTATTATGACTACGTAACAAAGAAACCTGATAGTGATATCGACGAAATAGTCGATAAGCTCATGAAACCACTTAAAATTATAGTTTTCTGCTTCACAGTCGCAGGATATTTATTTGTAATTTTATTATTCTTATTTCTCTTATATAAAGAGAAACAAAATGTCGATTTGGTGGAGTGAAGCAATATAAACAAAATTAAATTATTACTAAATTTATTTCTCCTATTTTTTGTGACTTTTTTGTAAAGTTGTCGTGATGCACATGTTATGATTGTGGTTCTTGCATGATTCGTGTACTGTTGTGCGTGAAATTACACACACACACACACACAGCCTGTGTATATATCAGAATGACGTTTTAAAAATTTGGGGATTGTAGAGGATGTAATTTTGAACGTTTTGATATAAGGAACCCATAGCTGGAAATGTGATATAAACTATATATATATAGAGAGAAAGTAGATAAATCACATGTAAAGATTATTATTATGAATAATTGAATTATTAGAATAATATGAATAATTGAATTATTAGAATAATTGAATGTAATTTAATAGATAAATCACATATAACTAGAAGGATATAATTATTCTTGTATCTTGTATAATATATATATACATAAGACACTAGTTATAGTAAATAACACAAATTCATTATCAAGGCCGAAGAGAAAAGGACAAAGTCAAAAAAGATTGGGAAACAATGCTTTACATTATCGTATAAGATCACTTCTGAGTTTTTAGTGCCAGTTTGATGAATAATGTGTTTCGCCATTGTATGGTGGAATCAAAGCACTATTAGACACACTGAAACTGTTACGATTGTGTTTTCGCCCGTACACAAATATACTACAAAGGAAACTACGTGTCCTTTACCAGACATTCTGCTCAAACCTTTTCTTACAGTTTGATTAATACACCCAAAATCTGATCTTACGTTCTTAGCATTTCCTCTAAAATATAACTATCGGGAAAATCATGATCTATATGATAATTTATAGCGAAGCCCGAAAGCCATTTAGCCTAATGTATTTTCTACAGATTATTTTAGTCTGGTTAATCGTTCTTAAAAGCTTAAAATATATCTGTTAACTCACTTTTGGACCTCCCTGTATTTTGTATATACCGAGCAGAATTATTTGTAAGCAATTTCAAAAAGAAACTACAGTCGACCCCCCTATAATTACGATTCCTATAAAACTACGAAAAAATATACGTATTTTGGAAATGTTGAGTCGGATTAGTGTAGAATCGATTAATTTTATGGAAGAAAACCTTTCAATCAGCTGTAGTCCGTAAACTTGACACGTGTCGGGCTGTGATTGGAACGACTTGTAAGAAATCGGATTCCTAATAAATTGGAACGTATCTATATCTTATAGGGGGGTCGACTGTAATTGAAATTTTCACCTAAATAGAACGAAATATATCGGAAGTATTAATATATAAGGTTCTTAAGCAGAAAGAAAGCAATTGCTAGGGAAAAGATTTAAAATACATTAACGTTTCTAATGGCATTCTTAATAGCATCTTCAATACTTATCTTGATTATATATGTCGAGGAGGGCAACTGTGAGGACCCAACCGAGGTCCGAATCATGTAAATCGCGATATTCCTATGATTAAATAATAACGACAGATTAAATATGAAAGGGAGAGGAAAATCCCATAATTTAAACAACGCGGCACAAAATGTAGACAACGAGTCTCGGATGACTCGAACACGTGTTAAACTAACTGACAATGTCAGAATGAAAAGTTATAAGTCAGAGTCAAGTGGTCATATGCAGGTAGAACTTTGACCCCAGCGCTCATAAACAGTCAATCTAGGGAAACAATTTCGGAAAAGATTTAGGAGAGATAAATCATTGCATATGATCGTTCGAGTACCCAGATGACAGAAATCGCGAGTAATGGTGCTAAATTATGAGCGCGAGTCTTGCAATTTCGTCAACAATCCCCAAGAACAATCGACAGAAAGGCGTCGAACAGACACCTGGAATCGGACCTTTCCCGTGACCTGAGGCGGTCTCAGTTTATCCCAAAACAAAAGAGAGGCCAATCGGGAAGCGAAAAAGGGGATGAAGGGCCAATCGGAAGTCCGAATAGTGGGAGAAAAAACTATAAAAATCGGAAAATCAAGGTCAAGAGGGCTCTCTTCCGTAGTCCACGAAAGGTTGTGATTTAAATTGTGGTGTGTCGTCGCCAAGAACTTTGGACTCCACCGCTTACTCCTTCCGATCGTCCGCCTAGTTCAGCGACCTCATCTCGTCCGCCCCGGGGCCCGACAGACGCCGAAGTCCTCGCCTCTCCGCATCTTCGACGAAAAGAACCCTAGTGAAGGACTGTTGATGTAAGCATAAATGTTAACAAATAAACGGCTTTCTTGTGTAAAACACTTGTTATCATTTGCCTCCTCCGTCACAGCCCACATACAACCTTCCCTTAGGTTCATCCTGACGCAGGATTAATGTCTCCCACTTAGGAGACGGCTACCTTACACAGGTGACGTGAAGTGGGTTTCAAGTCCCCTATCTCCCCCGGATCGGCCATCTTACACAACCTTTGCCAATCAAAAAAATTGAAGGTGCATGTAGGAGAGCCGAATTTTCTACGGCGTTAAGATTTGTAGCGGGCTTGGTCTATAAGTCGATCGCCATAAACCAGTTAATTGAAAAAAGGTGGCGAAAACTTATCGAAAAGAAGGGCCTACACATATATACAGCAAGTATACACCCAGTGCCATAAAAATTAGTGCACAAACAAGTTGTATCGTCGCGAAAACACGGCACGCAGATAAGTCTCAAGCAGATATGGAAATGATTAGAGTTGTAGCGTGATGGCTCAAGGCGTAATGCCTCCATGCCCGTCCGTATCGCATCGAGTATTCACGCTACAGGAGGCCCGACAGGGTACTAGAACCCCCTTCCATTTGTAGTTTTTCCTGCAATAAATGATCCCTTTGCTTTCATTTTGTAATCTTGTCTACACTCAAACATGTACAGTACAATATCGTTCGATTCCGACGATTCCTTCTTGGTGCGCTAATTTTTATGGCAATGAGTGTATGTCGGGCAACGCAAAGTATAGGTGTAGAATGAAAAGTTACAACAAACCCAATTATACGATTACAATTATTAATCCGCTATATATATATATGTGTGTGTGTGTGTGTGTGGATGGTATTTTGATGTGTTCACTCCAGTCTGTCCACAGCGCTTATATTGGAAATTTATGAAAAGATCAAAGTTAGAAATGTCAATCCAACGAGATACAAATGTAAATTTCCAAAAAATAATTGGTATAAATTGCGTTGGATTTCGATAACAAAAATTAGTACGAGGAATATGATAACAACATTGGCTGTTTATCGGTGGTATATTAATTTAATATACCAAAATAACATATTTCTTACTTTATCACCATGGGAATTACATAACTTTGTCCTAATTTGTGCAATAAACAGGCAACTGTTTATGAAAATACAGGATGTCTTCACTCGATTGGAAAACATTCAGTCATCGATTGCTTAAAATTGCAACACAATTGAATAAAATTAATGTAACCGCGTGTCCGACACTTTCATTTTAGTATCAGTTCTTTTTAATTTAATTTAATTTAAGATGATAAAATTAGGGCCCGATAACGGTCGAGATGAACACACGAGGTATCCGCGTGAAATTTTCCGTATTTTCTTCACTCGAATAAGAACGATCTTCCCCTTGTCAGAGCGCCCTCGTGTTGCAGTGCCACATTCCATCCTCTTAGGGGTCTAGAGAGACCCGTATACGACTTTTCCCGGTATTTTATTAATCTAAAAAAACAAAAAATGTTAAAGTTTGTAAACAATACTTTCTGGATCTCACTTGTAAAGCATTAAACCATTCTGAATAACTGTTAAATTCAATTGATGTGGGGGTTATTTCACGGCCAATACAGTAAATGAGCGATTGTAGTTAGTTTAAACAATTAAAACCCAGGATAGTGTCTAAAAACAAGCTAATTGGGCTTGAAATCCCATATCAGCAGAACACTTTCGATGGACAATTTTTCAAAACTTACATTTCATTGGTTAGTTTAAATCCATCTCCAAATTAATCATTGTTATATAATACATACTTTATTCTATATATTAGTTAAGACATTGCTTAATTAAATTCCTTCCCCTTTAATCGCCTGTTACTTAAATCCACTTTAATAAAAGAGTCTGTTAGGTAAACGATATTTCGATACGAAATATCGTTTACCTAACAGACTCTTTTATTATAAAATTAAAATCGAATTATTTTGAAAGGAATAAAATTAAAAATTTTATTTATTTTATTCAGTTTCAGGCTATTATTACGCACGAATTTCGTCGTTATATTACCGGCTACGAAGGGAACTTCAATCATCATCGTAATTAACGACGAAGCTTCGTTCGAAGGTAAGAATTTAAAATAAGAAACAGTAATTTTAAAAGGGAGTTTCCTCCATTATAATGATGATGTTTCTTCTATCATCGTGGTAAGTATTTTATCATCGTAATAGAAGTGTCGAATCATTAATAATGATTCAAAATAAGACAACAGAAGAATCGTCATCGTTATAATGGACGAAGCTCCCTTAAAAGATAACAATATGAAACAACGTATCGGTATATTTATCATCATAACGGAAGGAAGGATGATCCCTTCAAACATTAGTTTGCTTCTTTGTGCGAATTGCTACCATCAAACTGAACTTGTTATGATGATAAAGCTTTATTGATAATTGACGATGATAAAAGCCTTTACAATATAAAATACAAACTAAATTAAAATTAACAGCAATAAAAACACTTTATTTAACATGTATCAATTAACAAAAATATCTGATTTTGCGCCCAATATTTTAAAAATTACTTGAAACATTGACATTAAAAGCGAGTTATTAATTAAAACAACACGCACAAAAAAAAGTTGTCCCTTCTATAAATATTAGTCCGTAACTAATCGATAATCTGGCATATTAAAATTCCATACACACCATTCTTGTGTTTTTGGCAGATATATTTCTCCCTCAAGGTAATTATGGAGGACACTCATTAGCCATTGGGTATCGATTATAATCGATGACCAATAACAGGAAGTGAATCGACTGGAGGACAAGCATATATTCACCGGCTGCATGCGTAAATTATGCATTTGTAAAATTCTCCAAAATGGTAAGGTCTAATTTTGTCTTTTCTTTAAAAATTCCCAATTATTTATTTGTCTTTTTTTAAAAAAAATTTTAGACGTCTTACACGGATAAAGGACCGAAGGTATGTGTTTTCCAGTGTAATTTTCGCGTGTGAGCACTTTAATTTGCGCGGAAACAGTAAGAAAATTACTTTTTCTTACTCGAAAAATTCGACTTTACACTTTTTAAATGACGTAAAAACGTATTTTATTGGGGGAAAATTACAATTTAAATTTTTTTGTATTTTATAAACGGACGCTTAAATACAGAATTTTTAAAAAAATTTTAATTAGAAAAGAAATTTAAAATTGTAGCTTTAAAATATTGTATTTTTAAAAATGACATTTTACTCTATTTTTTTTAAATTAGTTAATTATTTAAAATTTCAGTTTGAGTCGAATTTTTAGAAATGCGTTTTCGCTGCCAAAAAATACAACTTTAATAAATTCCATTTTTCGGGGGGGGGAGAAATTCGTACCGACTTTCTTCATTTCTCCACCCCGCTATACAATTACGCATTTACTAAACGATTTAATCAATGTAGAACTTGTGAAAGTCTAAATATCACGCTATCTTTATCTCTGACACCGTTGACCATCGCCGAAAGGTCAACCAGATTGGGCAATTTACGGTAGCGAATGAGATAAACACTCGGTTTGCGTGAGGAAATTATTAATTCCTTTACGTCTACACTTGGAAAAAACGTTTTAATTGTTAATTTACAAATGAAATTTTGCGAAATTTCTTGTCCGTTATCCTAGCTACACCCTAAAATAACCGATAAGAGAGGTTAAAAATGGATAATGCTCCCATTTTTTGGGTGGTCACGCGGATAATTTAGGGTTCGAGCGTCACACCAAATTCGAGAAAGTAGACAAATTTGGGCGTGTGAACGTAGATAAGCCATTCCAGTAACATAAATGCCGACTTAAAACGAGATTTGAGCGAGTCCGTTTGTCGTACCTAAAAAAGAACCACGAATCTTAAAAAAAAAAGACAGAAACTTATATAACGTCACACTATCGGATGATCTGTTACGTTTACGATCGGCCGTTACGCAAGCTGAAAGTTTAAATATTTTGTTAGCGATAAGATAGCCGTTTCGAAATATTCTCAAGCTCACCCTCTTTATTAAATTAGTGAAAGGGTTTCCGGTGACAGGAGCAGGAGGAGGAAACACGTTCATTCACGAGGAAGCACGCGCGGGTCACATTAGCATGCAAAATACGTTTCGGTGACTGGCGTGACCGAAATAAAAATCGGTGGATGACGTATCCATTAGCCACCGTCTGACTGAACGTAAATTGCCCGGTGTTAGAGCCGTGTTTCACTTGTAAGCGCGTTGCTGCGCGGTCGATGTGGTCCTTATATTGTGTAATTCGGTAATAATTTACGAATTTCTGATAAGATTCCGTATCAACACGCGAGGATGGTCGATTTAAAAGGTCAAGGAAAATTCTTTTCTAATCTGTCGCGTGAAATTTCGGATGATTAAATTGTTGCCATTTCGAAGAAAACGGGTGAAATTACAATTGTTTTTACTGTGTCTAATCCGAATGAAGAACCGTCGAGGCTCTTGCGGGTTGATAAATTGATAAAATGAAAAATTTGGAGTTTGAGGGGGGTCTAAAATCCCGCGTGAAATTACTTGTATCAAGTTTTAGGTACAAATAATTTCGCCTCCAATCCTGGTTTGGTATGATACGTCGTCTGACTAGAGGAAGCATTCTCAGGAGGACTTTCTAAAGGAAACTGATCCCTTTTTAGGCGTCGGACACGTAAAGAACACCGGAAAACCACGTAGCAATTAATGAGATTCGAACCCGCGATTATCACCGGGTTCGAACCTCATTAAATTGTCACCTTGTCGCGTGTTCGGCTGTTTTATCCACACGACCATCGGTGGGCCTTGAAAAGCTCGAGTGGTATATCGAATTTTCTTCCCTATAGTCTTCTAGCCCTATTTACCCTCTTAGTGCCCACAAGGCCGAAAGAGTTTAAAAAAAGCCCTATTTACCTGTTCGGGACACTTAAACGTTGTTTTTTTACTTGTATATTCAGCCCGAGGCTGGCAAATTCCTCAACTTTGATCACATCACGTTTTGGGTTGGAAATGCGAAACAGGTTAGACGAATTTCATAATTATACCTCTTAATTGTTTTAGTAATTATAAAAAAGAATGGAAAATGTTTTTTTATCAGGCAGCTTCGTACTATTGCACCAAGCTAGGATTCGAACCTCTAGCTTATAAGGGTTTAGAAACCGGATCCAGGGAGGTGGTGGCCCACGTAGTGAAGCAGAACAGGATTTATTTCGTTTTTGCCTCGGCCCTGACGCCGGGAAATAAAGGTAAAGTACGATTTTTTTTTCTCGCCGTGTGACGTATATAATACGAAAAAATACGTAATAATTGATAATTGCAGTGATGGGAGACCATCTCGTAACTCACGGAGATGGAGTCAAGGATATTGCATTTGCTGTGGAGGATTTGGATGCCATCGTGAAGGTATGCTAATTAGATGTGTGTTATTAACACGCGTGTGAATTGAAGAACAATTAACGATGTTTTCTGCAGTGTGCGAGACAACGCGGAGCGAGAATTGTGAAGGACATATGGGAAGAGAAAGACGAACATGGTTCAGTTAGATTTGCCGTAGTTCACACTGTAATTTATTTATTTTTACTCACAAACAAAAAAATTAATTACATGTTATTAAGTTAATTATTGTTCTGTTTAGTTTGGAGACACGACGCACACCTTGGTAGAACGATCTAAGAACTACAATGGATTATTCCTTCCGGGTTACAAGAAACCTCTTCTCGGAGATTCTCTTCTCTCCAAACTGTAATTATTGTTCACAATAATTCATAAGAACTTTTTGCAGCTAAATTAATTTCTGCATCCCTAACAGACCTAGTGTAAAGCTGGATTTTGTGGATCATTGCGTGAGCAATCAGCCAGATAACATGATGGTTCCGGTTACCAAGTGGTTTGTATTATCTTTTGTCTATTTATAACACAAACCTCGAGACTCGAATATTCAAGATCTGGTCAGTAAATAGTCCGAGGACTAGAACGGTTAATCGAAATTCTCCCACCAGGTACGAGAACAGTTTGATCTTCCATCGCTTCTGGTCCGTCGACGACAGCCAGATCCACACGCAATTTTCGGCACTCAGGTCCATCGTGGTCACCAACTACGAAGAAACTATCAAGATGCCCATTAACGAGCCGGCTCCAGGCAAGAAGAAGTCACAAATTCAGGTATGGGGCCCTCTTCCCGTTAAACACAGCCGCGCACGTGTTACGTCATACGATAACGTTTAATATCTTAGGAGTACGTAGATTACTACGGAGGACCGGGAATCCAACATATTGCATTAAACACCAAGAACATAATCGAAACGGTTAGTAAATCACTTTAATAATTTTGTAATTTATTTGGATGATGATGATGACACGTTTATCATCGTTTAAAGATAAAGAATCTGAAAGAAAGAGGAACGGAATTTCTGTCTGTCCCGGACACTTACTACACGACACTTCGAGAGAACCTGAAAGACTCCAAAGTCAAGATAAAAGAGGATTTGGGAATGGTACACAGTATTTTCCCATCAGAGTCCAATTACGATGCAAGAGATCAAATTTGTTTTTCTTTACAGCTTCAAAAATTGAAGATCTTAATCGACTACGACGATAACGGATACCTTCTGCAGATCTTCACTAAACCCATGCAGGATAGACCCACCCTCTTTTTAGAGGTCATACAACGTCACAATCATAATGTAAGTAGTATCAGTTATCTCGACAGGATGTTCGAATTTCTTTCCTTCTCTTGACAATTAGAACCACACAGTTAAACACCGAATTTCTCTCACTAGAGATTACATCAAATTCCGGAAGTAATTTAAAAAACATGAGAATAAATTTTTGTTGAAAGCCATTTGGCTAGTGTTAGACTTTCTTTTATGGAAAATATTACCATTCTCGAGGTAAAATTATTCAATATTACCCATTGAAAGTAGATTCTAATACTTGAAATCCACAAATGTAAAACAACAGGGTATTAATTACTTCTAAAAGCAATGTTTGCATGCACTTCGTTTCAAACTAAGAACTGCATAGACTGATTTAAACAGCCATTAAACCCTGGAAAATGCCCTTTGTCATTTTCCAGGGTTGGATCGATTAATGGCTGTCCGAATCAGCCTTTATATACATATTTCTTTTATCCCCCTTATAAAAATAGAAATATACATATTTCTTTTATCCCAATAGAAATGTTATTTCTATTGCATGACAGAAATAACCAGATGCCTTATTGCTATGTCAAAAATTTCCATCCAAACATGACTCCCATAGTTAGCAGTTTAATGAAATTTTCCTTCAAAAAATTAATTTTACACATCTTAGCATCATACAAGTAATGTGTGTGTTATAAGGTATTTCACAATATATTAAAAAACATATGATTTAAAACGCTGGTGATAGTGTGATTTCTTTCAACAATTAAAATCATAAGCAGTGGTTTTTGTCTTATGGTTTAAAGTACATCTTGGTAGATTTTCTCAGTTTCATGTTAGTCATAATTACAATTCTGTTGAAGAAACAAAATATTCTTTAAGAAATTGGTTTTTATAATGTTGAATTTTTTTCTCCTTGTATTTTAGGGCTTTGGAGCCGGTAACTTTAAAGCTCTATTTGAGGCCATTGAATTAGACCAGGCGCAGAGAGGAAATTTGTAAATGGAGACATCTGCCTCAGTCCTATTGGTGTGTAATGCTAAAAGCTGAATACCCAAAAATAAATGTCTTAAATTTCTCAATGATGAGCAGCCAAGTTTATGATACTTCTATGTAATGTTTGGTTCCAATTACAAATATATTTACATAAAACAATCATTTCTAGTGTGCGTGATAATTTGTTGTTTTCACATATTCTTAGACAATGCAATATAAACTCTTATGATGCCACATACAATAATTGTAATTTACCATTTGTAAGAGGGTAAAACCGAATTTGATTCATTTTTGACAATTGTGAAGTCAAGCAAATAGAATAAACACATTTATTGCAAAAGTAATTTAAAATTTCAGTAGAATGCCAATTATCTGAGTTGACCAGGGCTTTAAATTAAATAACGATAGTTGTTTATTCTTTTTTTTTCGAATATACTACAGCACTAAGTTCTGAGAGATTTTGTGTGCGCAAGAATTTCTGCATCTTGACGTCTCTTTGCAACCAGAAGAAATTTGTATAAAGCACAACTGTTCTGACAATGGTAACAAAAAAAGTCCAATGTGCACTTGTTATTCTGGCATTGGTTTGAAAATCAAACTGAACATGTCCGTTTTTCTTGGATGATAAATAAACTACAAACATTAAACTTTGGTGGTGACACAATGACAACAACGGATCCTGTAATCCTTAGTTACTCAGTGGAATATTTGTGCCTCTCACCAGGCACGATAATCATTTGTATTTTCAGTCTCTCGTTCCGTTAATGTATGGATAATTCCTTTGGAGGTGCCAGAAGATAAAATACGTTAGAGAATCATCATAAAGCTCCGACCGTGAGGACGTCGGCACACATTTCGCAAATTCTCACTGGCTTGTTCAGGCCGAACTTCAGAATTGGCATGTCTTTGTCGGAACATTTCGAACACAGTAATCTGCCGCAGTGACGACTGGAAGAGAGGAAAATATTAAAATTTAAGAATGTTATAGTGCATCAAATGAGAATAAAGTCGTCAGCCTTACCAATGATGTTTGCGAGTTTTGATACTAAACCTGATGCCGCACTCCATGCAATTCTCACCACTTTCACACCAGGGAGGTTCCTTTGGCAGAAAATCTGAAGTTTTAAAAAACAGTATTAAACTAGGCGGTAATTATTTCAAACATGCAATTACACAATGATCTGCTAATAAGACACATTTCGGATCATTTTGTGTCCTGTCCCTTAGATTGCTTTGACAATTTATGCATTCTTTTCAATTTAATTGCACATATATGCTGCATGCAATTAAATCATTAAGTATAATGAATTTTTCAAAATATTCAAAGTCAGATATTAATCTATAATACCTAATAATCTGAAGAGAAGTTGTTTCGTTGCCACTTGGAAATTAAAAATGTTTATTCCCTGATGATTGCAGGTACCTAAACAGGCTCCGGCTCGAACTATGGACCGACAGAGATTGCCATTGCCATTCATGTAAGCCAGTAACAAGGCTGTAAAAAGATCATAATGTCGAATTAAAGAATGATAATGAGCACACCTGTCATATACATCTATTACTAATTTTAATATAATTTTAGATATTCTTCGATTTAAGTTAGTTTATTAATCTTTTAAAGAGTTACTAATTGCTTCTTACGTGAGTTTCCTTCTGCATCTGGTTTGTTGATAGGATACTCGGGCATGCATTCCATGAACAAATCAAAAATGGCTGCAGCGTTTTCTTTGCCGTACTGTGCCAAAACGTGAAGCGAATTTTGCCCCCTAAAAATTAACAGATCATCATCATCAATATTTCACATAAAAACACCTTACAAATTTAAATACAGCTGTCCCTTGATAGTCCGACGTTTTGTAATCCGACATGCTCAGTAGTCCAATGCACCTCCCGTCAAGGTACATGTCTGCTTGCACAGAAGCATGTCGCAATGTGAATCTCCCCACCCAATTCTTACACGATGACACACATTTTGTGTGTTTTCCATGAGCAGTTCTGTTCGAACAGTTGGAGTAGAGAATATTGTAGGCTACTGCTAGCAAAACAATGCCAAATATGTAATCACTTTTGGTAATCCGACACCCCTTTGGTCCCATACCTGTCGGATTATCAAGGGACAGCTGTATTTTATTATAAAATTATGGATAAATTTAATTATATACCACATACATACATAAAGGCACATACAGTTTGTTTATTTTAGCAGTTTGGTAATAGTACTATTTTTTAAAGTAGGCCTATAGAACTGATTAATTTGATCCACAAAGTTATCTGTTTATTTTTGTTTCGTCTTTTCTTACATGATCATCTGGCCCGATGGGTGAGATGATGAAGAAACTGCCTCAAGCAGTAAAGTTAGCAGTAAAATGAGCAGTCAAAAATGTTCAAAAAGAGGAAAAAACTAAATAAAAATAGAGACTTGCCAATGAGAATGAATGGAAAAATGTAAATATTTGCATAAAAGTAAATGGTCAAAGTATTTGATACATTGGTAGAACTGGCAATTCCAATATGGACCTAGCAACATTAGCATTACGGGTAAAAGGAAGATAAGAGTGTTTAAGAAATATTTTATTTAATTCTTTTAAATATTCTAATATTTTTTCTAAATAGGAAGAGGCAGCCATAGCCCATATTGACAGACAATAATCAAGTAAAGACTGAATATTGGCAAAATAATAAATGGATCATAAGACTGTTTTTTAGGAAATAGTTTTGCAAAAACACTGATGAATTCTATGAAGAATAGTTAGAGATTTAATAATCTTATCAGTATATCCTTTGAAAGTAAATTTAGTAACGAAAATGACCCCGAGGTCAATATAAGAATTAACATATTTTATGGGATCATTATAAATATAGAATGTGAGCAATTGAGGATTACAAATGAGCAAAAACAGGATTAGTTTTTTGTATATTAATTTTTAGGTTAGCTTTTCCTAAAAAGGAAGATAAACAGAGTAGGTCAGATTGAAGGACATTGAGGGTAATGGTTAATCAATTTAATGTCAACAGCATAAGATAATATACGAGAAGTAATATGACCAAGTATATTGCTTAAATAAGCTGAGAAAAATAGGCTGCTTAAAGTAGAACCTTGCTGAATTCCACATAAGGGAGAGAAATTCAAAAATTTGAAATTTGGTTACCAAGTTTAATTTTACAGGTACAAAAGTAGTAGTAATTATTAAGCCAGGATTGATAAGCAGAATGAATTTTCAAGTGATCCCTGAGTATTGAGAAAAGGAGATTGGAAATTATAGAATCAAAGGCTTGGCTAATAACTATATAAATTAATTATAAAGATAGATTGCTTACTCTCAAAATTCTGAAGGATTTATGATATTGTTTCCGAAAGATTGGTGGTGGTGGAATGATGCTGAAGAACATGGTATTAATTTAGACGAAACTGTTGAATATAGTGTATGGTATTTCAAATTTCAAATAATTTCAAGTAATTTCAAAAACTTTCAACATGGCAGATGAAATTAAAATGGGATAGACAGAGTTTTTCCTTTTTAGATACAGCTTTATACTTGTTTATAAATAGTGCATACAATAGTGGCTGTGCTAGAAGTATTCTCTATTGGCAACTGTTCTAGAAGCTGGAATGGCAAAAATTGGTTTTGCTTCAGATGCAAGTTTTCATCCATGTATCTACTTTCCCTCAGTGTATCACTATATGTTGATATATTACAGCAGCTTACCTGTTACAAAACTAATTTCCAATTCTATTTTCCACCTTGTTATTCCACTTGTATACCTAAATGTTGTCATCTCAGTTCTTGTGCTCTTGTAACATGTCCTTTCTATTCTATCTGTCATTTACAATTGCAACTGACGTAACTACTGTGTTCTGTAACATTTCCTGTTAATCTAATTGAAACTACTGCAAACAAATCTGTGTGACTGCCTCCAGTTTTGCCATCATACACTTATCCCATACATCATAATTTTTTTGGTAAGATTAATTTAATTTTAAGTAATACATTCCAAATTACGACACCAAAAAACAATGAACATCACACAAACAGATATTTACACAAAAAACACAAATGGAAAGTCACACCTCATGTTAAACGCTTCCGCGTTAATCCTAGATTCCGTCAACAGCGTCCGACAGGTGGCGATGTTTCCTTCTCGGCAGGCCAGATGGAGTGCTAAACGTCAAAACAAAACAAAATTAACAAAATAAACATTTTGAAAAGCCAATAACTAAAATAAACACTCACCGTTATTTAAATTATTGTCGACTGCGTCAAACATAATTCCGTTCTCTAGCAACACGCTGCATAGAGTATGGTGGTCTTTAATGGCGGCCAAGTGGAGAGCACTCTGTTTTTGAGGCGTCAAATCATTTATGTTGGCTCCTGCTAAAATCTATTAAAAGATATTTTGAATTACAAAACAAATAAGAAAATATATAATAATAATAAAAATTATGTTTCATCTTTTGCACTTTATTTTATCGCTCCTTCTGATTTTTGACCTTTACTTTTTGTCACTATTACATGTCTTGCATCACTACTACACAGGGCATGACGAAGAATTTGCAGTGGCCAGTGTTTTGAAATTTTTAAAATTAGAAAAAGTTTGTACCACCAGAGTTGGATTTAGAGTGATGATTTTCCTTTGTATGGCATTCTTACTTGCAGAAGATAAATTCTTTTGTTTAAAAATATTGAATATAGTAAAATATAATGCGCTCTCGATGCAAACATAGAAAATCAAATTGAAAAGATAACCTCTTAATAAAGAAATGAATTTGAGACTTTGATGTCGCCTTTATTTGGCATGCAATTTTATAAAGTGCACATTATATTGCTTTAATTTTATCCAGTTTGATTTGCTGTAGTTCAATGAAATTTCAAACAGCTTAAAGGGGCAAGAAAGGTGCACAAAGATTTTTCCCCCTAAAAATTCAAATTATGACAGATGATACAATAAGGGAATTCCTGGGTAAGAAGAGAAGCTGGATACTAAGCTGTAAATTGAACATTGTGGATTAAACCAACAGACAATTCTTATTCTGTTTAATTTTAGTGGGTCTACTTGAAGTCAAAGATAAGATGTTAGTTTGTTTGCACTTAATTACACAATGTAATTAATGACATTCACTGACACTGGGAATCTTCTACAAAACAATATCTATATGAAAGACTTCTAATGTTTAAGTAATGGCAAAAGTTTAAGATAAAAACAAACAGAAAATGTAACAAAATGAATGTTTGCCGACTTTGCATGCAAAATATTTGGAGATTTGGTAAATTCGTAAACAATTTCAACAATCGCTTATAATTATATATAAAAGAATGAAACTTATAACTTCAGTTACAAGAAACAATCACTTTTAACATTTCAAAACAAATGTATCATTCTACAATAATTTTTATTAGAAGAGACATGTTTTTCACACTTGTACAATGTGATCAAAGTTTCCTTCAAAGAATAGACTTAGCATTGACGGGATCAGTGACACTCAACTGACTTTATGTATGTAAATTGGTGGCATATTACAAGTTTCAAATGTAATCTCTCAAGTCCATAGTAAATAAAACAAATGTTAAAATATTCAAATAATAATGACCATACAAATAATTTTAGGGTCAGTTTAAAGTCTTTATCCTTTTCTAAGATTCCAACCAGATAGATGATACAAACTGGACAATCTTGTACCTGACACCATTGATTCAACATTAATTACACTGCATGCTTTTAATTCTATGGACTCATTTTGGAGCCTCCGAGGTCGGCACATGCCATCTTAATTAATTACAAGACTGTAAAATATGATTAAATACTTCCAATGAAAATAGCTTAAAAGTTAACAGCTATTTGTGTTACAGATATAGTTTTTTTTACCTTTCATCTAAGTTAAAATCTCAAAAAAATGTTTTAACTGACAATGTGTACTGTTTAACATTTCATTCTACCCATTTTATAATAATGGTCTTTTCCACTGGTAATTATTAATATACTTACAATTATTTTTATATAAAACCTCACATAACATTGATATAATGGCATCAAAATAAGCAATTAAAATACTGCAAACTTCTTGAAATGATGTATCAGAATAAACTTTTTACATAGAAAAAAATTTGAGAAACTTACTAGATTTCTAACAATAATCTCAGATCCAGCTTCTACTGCCAAGTGAAGCGGTGTTAGCTGCGATGAATCTTGTACTCTCGAATGAATATTTACATGAATGCTTAAAAGAAACAGTACGCTTTCTATGTCCGATTTCTGAATTGCCACGTGAAGAAAATTTCTACCTTTATTATCATGCTACAAAAGAAAGAAAAAACTGTCATTTTAAAATGATAATAATAAATTCAAAATGTAATAATTTAAATCATTGAACAACATTAAATTATTCATTCTCTCCATAAAAGAAATATTATAATTTCACAAACAAAATTTGATAAAATTTAATACAAAAGTTATTGACAGAAAACATAGACTTTTGAATTTATTTAAATGAATAATTAGAAATTAGAAAATATAATTCTACTGTGTAAATCATTTATACAGGTTCTTCTTAAAAATGCTACCATTTTAATTTATTGTAATTAAGTTAATTATTATCTGAGCATTGTAATGTACAGTACATTAAAAACATTGCAAAACTGTCCAAATTTCACATTTGCCCATTAAAATTTCTCAATGCATGCACTTCATGCAACCCAAGTCCGATCAATACGCAAATTCTTCCTGTGCTTGCTAGAACATAACCGTTATCACTCCTCCCACAGCATCTATAATTCTATAGCTCCTGCAGATTACTCGTGTTGCACAATGACGAGCGATTCTGATTTCACAAACTGCACCACGCAAAATGCCTTTTCTGTTGCTCAGTCGTTTTATTTTATGGCACTTCCTAGAGGTAGCAGATGACAAGATGTTTGAATGCAGATGTGAGATGAAACTTGGAGAATTACTGTATTGATTGGTATACAATTTATATGTCTTGGATAATAATTAACAATGGTAGCATTCGTTTTGAAAGATCATGCATATTAAATTTCATTGTAAAAATTTTAATATAATATGTATAAGGCTTGATTTTAAAATCGTAAAAAAAACTTCAATTATTATGGATGTTGGCTTTTCCATAATTCAATTATAACAGAATTATAAATCAAAGAATAAGATTAAAAGAAATATTTTCTGCTAAATAACTGTCCCTTCTCAAGCTTTTACCATACTGTAGGCACTAAGGGTCTTTTTACCATGATCATCATTGGTTTCTAAATCATGTACCCAACAAATCCAGGAAATCTGTTTTACAAAAATTTCTCACCCAAATTTGCACCTGAATCCCAGAATGAAAAGTTGAAAGCTTTAACACCTTGGTCAAGCAGTCTTCTCAGTTTAGAAAAGTCATTTAAAAGATTATAATAAAGTTCAACACATTCAATAGAACAATATTTTGTTCTATTTGTAAGAATTTCAATTGTAAATCATCATTCTAATTGTCTAAGTAAATTGTTCCAAGTTGAAGATGGTTAGAATTTGTCCAAAAATACTTTAAGAGTGTTGGCTACCCATACAAAGGATTGATTTAATTTACTTATTTATCTATCAAAAAGATGCTAAGTTCAGTGAACTTTTATGAGAAATAAGATTTAATTTTCCAAAAATAGCTTTAAACTGTGACTTTTTTCTTGCAAAACACCAATTTAATAATCAAAACTCAGATTTACATGAATAAAACCCAAATTTCATTGTAATAAACTAAAAAATTTAAATATACACCCACAACTGTCGTAAACGATCAGGCTAAATTTGAATATAATGACCGTAAATTAGAAATGTATTTGGCACTAGAGTGAGGCGTTAGGCACCATCTCGTATTAAAATTAATAAATATAATATTTAATTAATTCATTTAGATTAAACCGAAAGAAAAGAATCAGTCTGGGGTGGGACTCAAACCCGCAACTACAGCTTACCGTGTAGACACGTTGCCAGTTACACTACCCAGACCTTGATCATTTACGGCAGTTGTAGGTGTATATTGCTTAATATTGAGTTTTGATTGATGTATAAAAAATTTAATACTTACAAGGGGAACCAGGGAGGTTGTCATGACTGATTTTGTTAAAATCGGTTACTTGTACTTAAACTCTGCCAAAGTCGCATGACCCATTATTCAAGCATTCTCGAGAAAATCACAAAGTTTTTCTAGAACTATTAATACCTAAGCAGTAGCACTGTTCATGCATTTGTGACAAGGCTATTAGCTAAGAAGAGGTTAACATGCAGGTTCAAATCCTTTATGAGAAATTTTTGATATATGAATATGACTATATTTGGGTGATGACTATATTTGGATGATACGAGGTCTGTTCAAAAAGTATCGGACTTTTATTTTTTCCGCGTAAACCAATGATGCGTGGGAGGCCTCTTTCGGTGGAGTTGTGGAGGGGACAGTCATGCACAGCCCTGAATTTTTTCCCGCCTGCAGGAAGCGTCAGTCGTTGGCAGTCGGCCTATGAGTGAGGACATGTAGTGAGCTCTCGTCAGATTCCACTAAGTTGAAAAATGACTGAACAACGTGAGCAGCGATATTACATCAAATTTTGCCAAAAACCTTGGCGATACCCAAGCATAAACCGTTTGCAAGATTCAGCAGGCTTTCGGGGATGATCCTCGAGGCCATAAAGAGTGCGGCATGTCCGCAGCAATATCAAGGTCATGTTAACAGTTTTTTTTACTCTCATCGGGTGGTGTATCGTGAGTACGCATCACAAGGCCAAACCATCGCAAAGGAGTACTACCAGGAGGTCCTTCGTCGTCTTTCCGATGCTGTGCGACGCAAATGACTGGATCTGTGGTCGATCAAAACTTGACAGCTCCATCGTGCATCCGCCCATTCTGCGCATCTGATTCGGGCTTTCGTCGCCAAACACAACACTCCTGTGGTTCGTCATGCTCCGTACTTTCCCCACATGGCTCCATGTGACTTTTGGCTATTTCCCAAGCTGAAAATGCAGCTAAAAGGAAACTGATTTTAGTTGAGAGAAGACATCATGCGTAACGCGACAGACCGGCTGATGGCCATTCCAAAAGATGCGTTCCAGCAAGGTTTCCAGCAATGGCAGGAACGCTGGGAGAAGTGTATACACTACCAAGGAGGGGATAGGGTTTTGTACCTCAAAATCAATAAATGTATTTTTGCCGACCAAAGGTCCGATACTTTTTGAACAGCCCTCGTATTTATCATAAAAGATATTTTTGGTGCACCATGCACAAATAAACATTGCTACTTCATTTGCACGATCTTTACATTTTGTTTTAATAACAGAGGGTGGAAAACAAACTTCATTAACATTTTTGAAAATATTTCTTTTGCATGTTATTTGAGATGCAAACAATGCATATTTTAACATGTTACAAAAAACTGTTGCACTCAACTGTTAAAAATTAGACAGTGTATTTTAATAGCATCTTCACTATTTGCTATTCCTCTATCAGTTTTAAAGAGATAGCTACAGTACACTAGTGGTCGTTGATGCAATAGTAATATCTGAATCTCAAACCAAATACAGTATATGCAAAAATATCTTGTATAAAAATTTGTTTGACATGCTTAATGGTTTTATTTATACTGTATACTGGGATCACTGGTGATTGAAAAGAGAAACCTAGCCATCAACTTTGGTCATTTCCCTTTCTACATCAAAGGAACCCACTCCCACCCAATGAACTCCAGTGGCACTCTTACCTCTCCAGTAAAACTGAATAATCCAGGCAAAAACATAATCTTTGTGTAGTTTTCTTTCCTGATTAGATTAGGCCTACCTACTAATATATTATATACAGTATATAATATATTTTTCGCTGGATAGAGTGTAGATGGGGTTGAGTTATTATAATATCCTTCTATCATTGCAGATTAACATTCTTCATGTAATGCCTTAATTAATCATGCCATACTACAAACATGTGAATGGTGCTTCTGCATAAATATTAATTTAACAGTTCTAGAAATATTTTAATCACGATTTTCTCGAGAATGCCCTATTAGTGGTTTGTACTCGTACGTAAACTCTTTGATAGAGTTTAAGTATGAGTAAATACTACAAGTCCATAAAATTTTGTCGAAATCGGTGATGACAATCTCCCAGGTTCACCTGCTTAGCATAAGATATGGGTTGATTTTTCAATTCTTTTTAATAAAAAGTTTACAATTATAATTAAATCTTACTTGTTCGGCTGCTTTTGGTTCCCTTGACAGAATAGCTTCGGCCGCTTTATTGTTTTTTATTGTCATGGCGGCAGCAAATGGAGTAAGCCCTTGCCTGTCTCTTAATGAGAGATTTAAAGATGGATGAGCAAGTAACAGAGAGATGATTATCGGAGTTTGATTGATGATGGCAACATGAATCGGAGTTTTCCCTTCAGCATCCTAGAAAATAAAATATTACAACACAACCTTAATTTTTTTTTTTATTCAATTAAAAGCATTAAAGTTATTCAAATCAAATCAAACTCAAAATTTAGTCTTTGTAAGTTTCCTTTTCACACTGTGGATCAATATAAACCATATAAGTCAATCTTTTTCTGTGGACTCTTTCTGTCTAAATACTGTAAACCAGTAATGAGCAAAGCTTTCTGGATTGAAGCTGCAAGTAAACTTTGTACTTTTCTACTGAGCTGCATGCATTTTTCTTTTAAAGTTGTAAGCTTTAAGGCTGCTAGATACTAAGTACTAAAATAATATATGCTAATAAGATGGAAATTAACACTTTACTAGCTGATGACACAACAGATGTGACATTCTCTTATATCAATAGATTGTGACATTACCTTTAGAAAAAGAAGTAGCTCACACACAAGAAAAGATTGTACAGTTCTGCTGTACGCAATTTATTCTCATACTTTTACTAGTAAATGATAAATGAGGTGACATGCAATGATTATACATAGATATTTGGGATCTGCAGCAATGCATGAGAGAAAAGGTGAGTTTAAGAACTTTGTCTTTACTGAAAAGATTAACTAATTCTATTGAAAAATATGAAATCATGCATATTGGAAATATAATAATACAATGTACAGTACAATCTGATATACAAGGTTTGTCCAATAAACATTGGAACTGAAGTCATAAAAAGAAATTTGTTGAAGATATATGTACAGTGAATTGATAATCTTCAAAATATGACCCTCTTGCATCAATACACCATTGCCAGTGCTTTTTCATATGCCCCCTGGAAGTTGGCAACTGCAAGGCTGTTCAGGCACCCGGTCAAAGCAACTTGGACAGTCTCAATCATCCTGAAATGATGTCCTTCAGGCTCCTTTTGATCCAAGGGAACAAAAGGAAGTTAGGAGGAGTCACATCTAAACTGTAGGGTGGTTGAGGCAGCATTGACACATTGTATTTGGCCAGTACCTCCCTCACAATTTGCAACACGTGATGCATTGTTGCATTGTTGTGATGGAGCATCAGGTATTGGCAATCTCCCTTCAAATGCGGCAAACCCCAATCCTCAAACAAACACTTAACCAGCAATCAGAGTTCAAAAGTTCTCTCACTTTGGCCACATTTTCATCGGTTCGGGTCACTGTCGGATGTCCAGCACATTGTTCATCTTCAATGTCTTTCTGGCCATCTTTGAATTGTTTATGTCACTCAAAAACACATGTTCTGAACATTGTTTTGTCCTTGTAAGACTCATAGATTATATCAAAAATCTCTGTAGCAGATTTGTTCAATTTAATGTAAAATTTGATGGCAAAACACTGCTTGATAGTTTGCTGCATCTTGACTCTTGATGCAAGCACTAAACACACTTTCACTTCAGGCGCGATCTACAACCTCCAAAGGCAACTGAGCCTGGTCTGGTAGCTTATGTGAAATCCCCACCACTGATCCTGGCCTCCAACCCTTCCCATTGGCAGGAAAAAATCAGTTCCAATATTTATTGGACAAATCCTGTAAAAGATATAAGTTAACCACTCAGCAGTGAGCGATGACTATAGTCGTCAAAATCTTTTGGGGTATCACCAAAAACTAGCCTAAAACTACTGCGAAAATAAATTCACATAAAAATGAATTATGTAACAATAAAAAAAGACTTTTCTTTACTACATATAACTATTTACAAAATCTTTTTCCAAAACAGTAATGAGAAAAAATGTGTAGAAAAATACTTTTAAAATTTTCCACATTTATTCTCCACTACTAGGGGTAGAACCATAGCCGACTAGTCCACTGTTGAAAGGTTAAATAAATGAATACAATGTTAAAAAAAAAAAATATTTACAGAATATAGAAATCTTACAGATAAAAATACATTATACTTCAATAGAAAATACAATAAGTTAGTAAAAAGTTGAAATACCCAACAATAAAAGAAAAACAAGAGTGGATGGACAGATTGGTAGTTAAATGTACTGTACAAACTTTGTAATATCGGATTATGTAAAACAATGTGTTAGTTTAGTTTAAACTAACACATTGTTTTACATCATTTACACATTGTTTTACATTGACCAATCAAGATTAATAAAGAAAGAATGGTTATACAGTTTGAAAAAATAATTAATTGATTGCCAGGTAGTCTCAGACCAGATGTAAGATCAACTATACAAAGAATTGTAATGACTAAGAGAAAAAAACATCAGGTAAGAAAACATGGGAATTTAAGGATTTACATATGAAGGTTGCTGGTTATTTGAAAGACCATCAATTAGTGTTGTTGAAAGCTGATAAAACAAGATAAATTATTATTACAACACAAACCAAAAAAAAATAATATGTAACCTAATTGAAGAGAGGAATTATGATAAGTTAAATAATGATCCAACAAAGCAAATATTAAGTAATTTAAAGAAGTTATTAAAATGCTGTAATATTCCGAAAGAAGATATTGAATTTATGTTTAGAAATAAAGTAAAGAGAATTCTTAAATTTTCGATAAGAGTTAAAACGTAACACCCGATTTCTAAGCCATTGGTAGACATCAAATATTATAATATGCAAGATCTTGAACAAAAGAACTTAAAATGTTAGAAAATTCACGGTTTAGTGTTAATAATACAGAAAAATTTCCAGATAATATTGAAGATTTGATTATATTGTTAATTATAAAATGGCTTATACAAACCAAACACATTAAAAAACCAACTCAAAATTGCAGTTGTTGTTTACAAGCTATCATGTACTTGTCCAAGACCGAAACGTTACATATGAGAAACGGGAAGGAAGTTGGAGACACAGTTAAAAGAACATGAAGCTGCTATTAGGTTAAAGAGACAAGAATCGCCGTGATATCTGCATTGTAATAAATTTAACTGTAAAATAGACATGAGTAATGTTAAAATATTATATAAAGTAAAATATTGTTTAAAAAGAAGAATCATTGAACATTTTTATATTGTAGCATATGCAAATGTAATAAATCTGAATACCAGAATGAATGTAAATGCATGCTAGGAAAAGATTACCCAGCATAAAAAGAAGAGCAACTGGTAGTTCATTGTATCCACTGATGAGGCTTGACTGTATGAAAGCAAAATGCATTTGGATTGTATGAACTTATTGAAAGTGGAGCTATAGGCAATAAAGGTTTAGTATTTCTTCGTTATTTGTTTGTCTGCTTAACTGAATCTCTCAAAGTCGGATAAGAAAGAGTAATTTTACTTGTTTTTAGTCTGGAAATAATGTATTTATTTTTAAAATTTACAAATTTTTCCTATATATATGGAGCATATATTTTAAATTAATTAAAAATATGATTGAAAATTGCAGCCCGGCATTATGATGATGTCACAATAAATAATTGTTCATTAGAAATGTATTCCTGTGGTGTAAGAAGGATTTAGCTATTCATTTTAAATAAATAAATGAATGAATGACATGTTTATTCTTAAGTTTAAAATATTGCTTTAGTATATTAGAAAACATTTTTTTTAAATCAAATTAAGTATAGAAATTTATTTTAATTACTATAAATATTATTATCTTATTTTACATGACATATTACATTAGCCTGCATATCATTTCATTCACAAAACAGTTATCGGCCATAATTATCAACATCACCACCAACACAAAGCAAAGATATATATGTACAAACCTGAGCATTAACATTTGCATTATGTTCCAGAAGCGTTTGTACAATATTTTCTAAACCCCACGCACATGATAAATGAAGTGGTGTCTGACCGTCATACGCTTCTTCTTCCCCTCTGCCATCGGGACTTGGTCTCCTCGTTGCATTCATATCGCAACCGCTGTAAAAAAACGAAGACAAATATTTAATTAACAGATTAAAAATTTCAGCTCTGTTTGGTTTAAAATAAAAAATTAAAATTAATTAAACAAATCACTTAAATTATAATTTGATTTTCATGAATTAGCATTTAAAATTAATAAATTTCTTGTTAAGAAAGTTGAACAGTAGGCCAAAAACACTGAATTGAACTTCATGAAATATATTTTTATTTTTGACTTTCCTTAATGAAAAGTTTGAGCTTTTACCTAATTATGGTCAGGATCCAGACAGATAATTCCATCCGCAATTCCCTGACTGATTATGACATTATTTCCTGACTTATTAACATCTCTTATTTCCTCCTTTCTTGTATGCAGTTAAGCCTGGACTCCACATTACCGGAATCGATGACATAATCGTAAAACTGAATGAAACTTTCAGTTGGACAGAAACAAGACTGAAAGCTGAATTAAAAATTATTTAACTTTTCTGTTTTCATTCCATGCTTCTGTCATACTGCAACCAATAAAAATGCAGGGATTTGTGACGTGTAGTCATGTGCATTAGTTATGTGTAGTTTGATTGTCGTAATGGCAGAAAGTGTAGTGGAAAGGATGAGGAAACAAATAGATTTGGAATTATTCATAGAAGAAGTTAGAAAATATACATATCTGTACAACAAAAAATGTAAATAATTCAAAGATTTTTAGCGATAAAATTGTTAATAATCTTTGAATTCTCTATATATTATTAACAATTTCATTGTTCATAATATGCAGAGAAAGCATGGCAAAATCTGTAGCATCATCCACGTTTGACTCTTTACAACAATTACAAAACTGAACAGATGTCACATTTTCATGTAACGTTCATTTCGGTGCTAGCAGAGTCAACTCTCTATGTTTTAGTTCTGTTTCAGATAATGTGGAGTCCAGGCTTTAGAGAGAAGACATATCACAAATTAACAAAAAACAATCAAACTTGACAGAATTATCATCTCCACATATTGTATGTGGCCAGCAACTAAAAATACAATGAATAAAAATGCATAAGTTGTGCAAGGTCTGCCACGTGGTCCAAATGTCCTGTACACAATACCATTAAGCCGATTGACAGTTCTTTGCCCTCCCATGGAATCAACTGACTGCAACGAGTTAACTAAATTCCACACAAGTAAAAAAAATTGGGAGGGTTGTGTATGAAACACCAATCACAATTATTTAAGACCTGAATCCATTTTTGTGTTATTAGACAAAGAGGTGTAAACAAATGAAGTCTTGATGGTTATCATATTCAAAGTCCCTATCTATCAGTTTGGGCAGTGGTGCACTCAAAATATTTGCATTGAGATGACATGCTTGGTTTTCTTACTCTCACTTGACAATCCACATCGTTTGGCATTAGTCATTTTGGACTTTTCTGATTCCTTTTAAGTTTTTCTTTCCAATGATATATGTTTCTTACATTTCTGTTCATATTTCCTTTGAAATTTCTTTGACATTATGAAAATTTTCTTCAACTCAAACAGTTATCAGCTTATAACTTTATAAATTCCATTTTATTGGTTATTATTGCTAAATAATATTGTAGATCATGCCACTCTGTACAAATTGACACTGATTTCAATGTCCTATTTCTTTGCAATCCAAAGTTTCACTGCCCAAATGCTGCATTGTGTCGTCATTTTCAGCATTCACACATAACCACTACTCCTCGCACAGCTGCACACCCCCATTACCCACAATTTTAAATATGGACATAAACCTTTCATTCAACAAAATTTAAATCATTAGATCATCGTTTATAGTTTATGAGATATAAACGTGACAAATCTTGCCATTTGTTTGGTTGTTCCAATTTTCATAGAACTCCTCCTATACCAAACTGAATTTCAAGGTGTGTTCAAAAGGAGTGAGAGTGAATGATGGATTCTGTGGTATTTGCAGGATTCCTTGACTTTCCAGGTCTGTATGGATCATGTATGGTGATTCTTTTACCTTCACTAATATTACTTTTGATATGTTATTACTTATTTCTTATGTTATGCAATAAGTCTATTCCTTGAGCAAATAACTTTGTTATACTTAATATGAAAACAAAAGGAGCTAAATCCTACTAAATTTTACTCATTTGCAAAGAAAAAGTAGAAATGAAATAAAATTAGGGTTCTTAGCTATTTGCCATTGTAAATTTCCATCAATTTTCCATGTTATCATCAAAAATTTTCTAGCATCCTGCTATTGTTAGATTTAAATTTTCTTATGGAAAAATTATTAAGTTTATAATATGGAACAATACAAAATTCTTTATACAGTCAATGACAAAAGTGAATTGTCACCTCACACTAATTGGTATGGTAATGAAGCCATATGCCAAATTTGACACATTGAGTAATCCAGACTATTTTAATCAAATATGAATGTTAATTTAGACTAACTTTAGGCCCAATCCACACTACCAAGTTGCTTACAGTGAAGTAAAACATTTATCAATTGTGTCTAGTGTATGTCTTTACAATAAAATCTCAGTCTGGTATATTGGACACAATTGACAAATATTTCTTGGGCCTATACATGGCTTGGTAGCGTGGGCCTTAATGACAAGAATCAATAGAGAGACAGTTGGATATTTGTAAGACAAGATAACACAACACTGTCACCTGCATGATTAACAGAGATTACAACTACCTGACTAATTACAAATGTACAAACTGATGGATGTTTGTAACATTAATTCCTATTTTATCTCAATTAAATTTATGTATTTGTGTACTCATCTACCACAGCACACATTATCAAAAATACATGATACATAACTCCTATAAGCCAGAAATTATTTTTTAATGGGTATTCACCAAATGCTAGATAAGCACTGGACTGCCAACTAATCTGTTTGGAAAGTAAGCACTCAGTTTCCAATAAAACTTGTTTTTGAGGGCATCCAATTCAATGAAGTTAGATGTCTCAAGAAGTCTTATGCATTAGATACAAATGAAACTTTGCACACTTACTGCTTCAAGTTAAACAAAAACATGTAAAATGAACACGAGTGACAAGTTCCATGTAAATTCTATGATTGCTATGAACAGTGTAAATGATTGAATACATAATAATGAATATTTGAAACATTTTATTATTATTTTTGTTTCATATATATCTAATTGCTCAACAAATTAATGTATCAGATTTAGGTAAACTTATTTCATTAGAAATATCACATAAGTTTTGATGCCTACATCCTTACTTTAAATCAAAGACAACGCATTTCATAATATAAAAAGAAAATCAAAGACAACGCATTTCATAATATAAAAAGAATATTGACATCATAAAATAAAACAAAACTTAAACTAAATTTTAAATTAATCTAAATAAACTATAAAATATAAAACTTGTGAGATTGTTACCTTCTGACCAGGAAACATGCAACAGATTCGTTATTTTCATCGATGGCTCTATGCAGTAACGTCTGATAACATCCACTCGGACCTTCCGACCAACAGTCTGTATCGCAGCCATGTTGAACCTAATGTATCATAACAAATGATGTTAATAAATTAAGATCAAAAATGAAACGAGGCATTTGATTCATATTCAATTACCAAAATAGATGCTATGTCTTCTTGACCACTTTCTAGTGCCACCCAAAGTGGACTGTTGCCATTTTCGTCCAGAACATTCAAGTCCGCACCTTTGAGGCATAATGCGCGAACGACAGCTGGCAAATGCCTTTTTACCGCTAACTGAAGTGGCGTATCGTGATCCTTTGTTCTATGTAATGATTTTTAAATAACTTGATTAAAATAATAATTAATGAAATTATATAGAAGTTTTAGTCCCTTTATAATACTAACAGAATGTTGATATCAGCTCCGTTGTCGAGAAGAAAGAGAGCTCCTTTGGTATCTTGATTTAATATTGCTTCGTGGAGTAACGTCAAACCATCGATGTTGGTGACGTTAATATTTGCACCTCCGGATAACAGCTTCTGCGCAACATTATGTAGAGACATTTCTATTGCCAGGGAAAGAGGAGTTTGGTCCCTCGAATTTTTTATATTAAAATTAGGAACTATTAATGAAACGTCAGATGCGTGCTGAGTATAACCTATTAAAAAATCATTTAATTGGATAGTTAATTACTGTCAGTTAGCAATAAATCAGTTTGGAGAAATAAAAATTATAAAAACTGTATTCATTTAATAAAATAAAACAGTATAATGATGAAAAAAAATCATTTGTGATTTTATCAATTGATATCAACAAGAGCAAAACAAAAAATCTTGCTTTGCTCTTGACCAGGAGTGGCCAAATCTTGTCAGTATAGGAGCCATGTATCACCTACTAGAAATAAACAAGAGACATATTCTTTATTAGAACATATATATTATACAGTAGTATTAAAATACTATGATGTACAGAAACCACAATAAGGGTCAAGAAGAGCAACGTGGTTTGTGAGTCATAGTTTGGCCACCATGATCTATAATATGTTTAAAAAGCTAAGGGATTTTCTATCCTAAACAATTTAAATCCATATTGACTAGTTGTTTTCCTTTGTTTTTATGCACAGAATATACCTGGTAACTTTGGGTACACATTTAACATAAACCTGATACCTAATGCAATACCACAGTAAGTGTTTGTATTTTTAGAAAACTGCTATACAGTAAACCCCCCTATAACACGGTAGATATGTTCCGTGTTTTATGAATTCCATGTTGTATGAGTCATTTAAATACACAAGCCAATCGCAGCCCAGCACATGTGCAGTTTAGAGACTATGGCTGCTTGAAAAGTTTTCTTCCATAAAATTAATTGATTCTAGACTAATTCGACTCAACATTTCCAAAATACATATAATTTTTTGGGAATAATCCATATAAACTATGCTATAAACAAAAAATTGTAGGATTACTTACCGAGTGTGCACCGTTTGACGACGCCATTGCTTAAGCTTGTTTTTGTCGCGGAGTGGTGCATCGAATGGCGGGCATGTGTTTCCTGATAAGTTATTTTTCTGCGAAAAATTCGCTATACTGAACTTTGGAGACATCATTAATATAAATATAATTTTTATGGCCGTTAAATAATAAATGGTTTTTAGTAGGTCCGCTGCTCATTTAAACTCAACAGTTTGTGCAATATCTGCTACTGGTCTAGATTTGACCAATTCTGTTGCGACACAAGTCAGTGATGACATTTTACCGTATTATACGAGTCTCTTTTAGCGTGTTTATACAAATATGATCACAATTTTTTTGCCGTTTTATACAAATCCATATTATATAAACTCATGTTACAGGGGGTCTACCATATAACAATGATATTGAAACTATTACTATAAATTAACATCAACAATTGCTTCAATTACCTTTGACAGATTGTAAAAATGATTATGTAAGTAATTCTTTATGCTACTAAAAATTCAGCAATAACTATTAATTGATTTGTAATTTCTGAAAGTTTGTTTTGATGTTTTTGCTTCTGATATATGGAATTTTTTTATAATAGATTCATACTCTACTTTCTCAGCTATTGTTTTAAGAAAGTAGCAACATTATGAAAACGAACAGAATGTTACATGTATAAATGAAACAAACTAAAAGATTATTAAACAAAGATTACACAATAAAACAAATATATATTTCTCTGTAAAAGTTAGTTATTTGATGATAAAGTTATCAAAACGTATATACGTGTTACATGTTTCATTGTTTTATACATGTAACATGTATATAATAACTTAGTAATTATAAAGTTAACCTTGATACTGGTAGCAAATGTTATGTATATTGTGGACAGAACAAAGGAGAAATGAAGACATACTGATGATGGCAGAGAAAGAAAGACAGCTGTTAGCAACCATAGAGGAGGAGGTGGAACAGTAACAATGGACATTCATTAGAAACTTGACATGGATATGCATATTATTGGAAGGAAAGGTAGAGGGAAAAATAAGTCATGGAACATCTAGAATAGAATATCTGGATGGAGTGTACATACCAAGTGGTAAAACTGCTCACTCAAGACAGGAAAAATTATTATTTTTATTGATTTTTTTTATAATCATAATAAATTAACTGATTAATAATTATTCCATATTGCCCATCAAGCTATAGGTTGAAAAAAGAGAGAGAGAGAGATTTAACTTATTTTTTTTATATATAATTAGAGAGAAATAAGAATATTAACCTTTATGTTCAATAATAGCTTCAATAGCTCCTTCTTGTTTTGATAATATTGCAAGATGAAGGGGTGTATGTAAATACGTAATTGTTTTGCCATCTTCTTCTTCTGCTAACATGGCTAACGGATTTGGTGCTGACGTCTGTAGATTTGGATTGGCTCCTTTTTGTAAAAGAATCGAAACTAAATTGGATAGGCCTTGGGAACAAGCGACGTGTAAAGGACTTTCTCCCTGTTTAATATTTCCTAGATTAATATTGTCATACTTATTTTTGAAATAATAATTTCAAATAGAGATTTGTTTTTGTTAGAAATTAAATTTCAAAGTGCCTTATTGTTAGTCATATTGGGATTTGCTCCGTGAACGGCTAAAAATATTCCGGCTTCTTCATTTCCACTTGCAGCTGCCAGATGTAATAAACTGTCACCTAACAACAAAAACAGCAATTTATTATATATGTATAGTTAAAAAAAAAATAATTTAAAGTATTAAAATATAATATTCCTACCGGTTAGAGGATTTATGGCACTTAATGAACTTCCTCTTTTCACTAATCTTGCTGCAAAGCTATTGTCATCGTAATTACTTCTGACAGCTTGCAAAGCATACCATAAAACGGTTTGACCGTCAACATTTAAGATCTCCAAATTCAGAGAACTTTGCTCCAGTAACATATCAAAAACCAATTCATTATTGGCCGCAACTGCTCTATGTAAAGCCGTGCTGTAATAATAGTAAATTTGTTATTTTAAAATATCACATCAATGCAAAGCGAGTCAAATTAACTTCTTACTTTCCATTCTGATCTTGCTGATTTGGATTAGCTCCGTACTGTAGCAATTTCGACACAACATTAGCCATGCCTTTTATTATTTCGGGGTCGGTATCGTTTGGTGAAAAACTGCACGCTAGATGAAGAGGCGTCACCTTTTCGACAGACATGGCAGTATTGACCGAAGCATTATTTTCAATTAAGAATATAGAAGAAAATTCATCTCCTAAAATCAAATAGTTTTAATTATGGTATATGAAGCATGCAATGCAATAATGTTGTAAATGCCAAAAAAGAAACTTTTCAGGAGAGGTAAAAAACATTTTTTCTAATAAATAAATTAATTTTAATTTTACAATGAAATGATAAAAAACTCACTGAGTTACAAATTGTCTGGAATATCAAAATGATGTAAATATAAGCCGCTACATTTTACAGGCCAAAAGTCACGACTTGCACTCTGCCACTTTAAACATTATATTTTCACATAAATTCATCGTCAAAATACAGCTACTTACATTGCCCATATCACCACAATGTTCTTTTGGGGCAGAAAACATTGCATTTAAAATTCAATTCTTCGATAAAATGTATTTAGAAAAAAAATGATATTTACAACATTATGGCATTGCACACTTAATATTTAAAAATATTTTTTGTATATATAAATTGTTATCAATTATTAACCATATAATTTAATATGACATATAAATACCTCTTTCTAGTGCTCTATGCAGCAATGTTTTCCCTCTGTTATCTGTCGCATTTACCGAAGAACGGTGACGGACTAGCGTTTTTGCAATGCTCTCCTGCTTAGTGCTTAAAGCTAAATCAAGCGGAAGATCTCCTTGATCATCAATTTCATTCAATTTACTTGGTAGCTATAAAATTTTCATCATGAATTTAATGTGTTAAATTTTCTTTGAAAAAAAAAAACTATTTAAAGAAATATTAAAACAAAAATATTTGGAACAAATAATTAAAAATTTNCCTGTTTCTCAAAATATGAAACTAGATAAAATAAATATACAGTCAAAGTCTGCACACGTTGACTCACCAAGGGGAAGTGAAAATGTGTTGAGTTATCTGATATGACGAATAAAATGAAGTTGAAAAAAAACCACAAAACTACAATTAGGAAAATACAGTAGTGCTTTATACAGTACTGTACATGAAATGTATCTCTCTGACCATCCATCACTGGCACTAAAGTTGGTTTCTACTTCAAATACCTGTGATTTCCATCGCTTTTTGTTTCAGTATTAGCCCTGAAACAGGAAAATTTGATGAATGAATCTGCTTTAGCACACATACCAGAACAAAAATATTTGGAACAAATAATTAAAAATTTGTTTAATTCTAGAAACTGAATTAAAGTTTATTGAGTGATAGAATTGAACACACTTCATATTATTTGTTCTACTACGCTGGTGTCAAGGTTTCTTTATTTTAAAAAAATACTAAATTAGATTGAGTTTGAGATCTCAGAAAAAAATTAAAAAGCTAATATTTTCTCTAAAATGTCAATAATTGAATGTTAATTTATTGTTATACACCAGGGCTGGCCAAAATGTTATCATGACAGAAGCCATATATCACCTATCAGAAGTACAATAGCCATATTCTCCTTTGAAACTGTATTTTATGTATTCTCTTATACTTAATTATAATAATTAAATATGTGGGAGCTAGTTTGGACACCGTGAATATATGATATGAAATTAACTTTCATTTTATTTCAAAAATTATTCATATTCAAATTTATCTTATAGTTTAATCAATAATTAGTTATAGATAATATTATTTGTCTTTTCACAATTCACTCTGGCTATTTATCAATATAATAATCTGCAATGTATACTAATCAACTATAATGCCATTCAAAATAATATTCAAGTAAACAACAGTTTCAAACATTCAAAAAATATTTGAACCTAATGTTTTCAATCTAATCTATACGCTGTGATCAAAATTTTCATTAACAAATTTGATTGAATACAAAAGGTGTTGTTTATTTAAATATAATACATTTAATACAAAAGTTTAGTTTATAATATGAAAGCTAATTTATCTACAAAATAAATGTAAAGGTTTTATAAATTTCTATATTTATATTGATTTTAATGATGATTTACCAAACTTGTGATTCTTATTTTTAAGCTTATGCTAACTACATTTAGAAAATATAAAAGATATCTAGATTAGGTTGAAATAAAAATAACATTTAAAATCTTTATGGAATCAATCTTACTCTTTCAACAGGAAAATAACATACATGCATATATAAGGCTTGGTAGAGGCAAATCATCAAGTAAGTGAGCAAACAAACGAGTGGCTTAAACAAAGTGAGCCTTAAAGAATTAGAACACTTTCTGTCTATCCCAATTCACATTTTATTAACAAACTAAAGGTATACACGTTATACCAACAAAATATGGATTCTGTCATTAACTACTATTTTTTTCTGATCTATGTATCAAATTTCATCCAGTTCCATCCATTCGCTTCCAAGATATTGATGTTTGTTAATATTTTTCACTTCATTTAAAAATTTTTCTTCTTTTCTCCTTCAGTCAAAAAAGTTATGTCTTATGAAATGTCTGCTAGAGGTCACTTGTCATTATATACAATATGTCACTTCAATTGTTTTTGACAGAAATTTAAATTTTTTAAACAACATGATATTGAACTTATTTAAATTATACTGGTCTGTGTTAATAAAGGGTTTCCGCTAGGGGTGCTCAAACTTTGACAGTGTATAACGCCCATGTTGGTGAAGCTACAGCTGTCAAATTTGGAGGTTATAGTAATTAATGTTGGGCACATCATCATGGAAAATTACAGTGTTGAGCAACACATACAAATCATTAAACTTTACTATCAAAATCAGTGCTCAGTTCGAGCTATGTTCCGTGCGCTATGTGATTTTTATGGTGCACACAATTGTCCTGTTGAGTCGACTATTCGTCGTTTGGTGGACAAATTCAAACCAACTGGTTCAATAAACAATCAAACAACACCTGTACGTCATCAAACTGTGTGATCTGTAGAAAACATTGCTGCAGTGAACAAGTGTGTGCAGAATAACTCGCAGTAGTCAATTCCTCGTCGCACCCAAGAACTTAACCTTTTGCAGACCTCAACTTGGCAAATTTTGTGTTGGGACTTGGGCTTGCACCTGTACAAAATTCAATTAACCCAGGAAATAAAGGTAAACGACCATAGGCAGCATTGAGCATTCGCTGACTGGGCTCTGGAGCAGTGGAAGTGGACCACAATTTCAGACGGAAAATTATCTTCAGTGATGAGGCCCATTTTTTGGATGAATGGCTATGTCAACAAGCAAAATTGTCGCATTTGGGGCAATAACAATCCACATGAGATTCATCAGTTGCAAATGCATCCAGAAAAAGTCACTGTTTGTTTTGGTCTGGAGGGGTCATTGGTCTGTACTTCTTCCAAAACGAAGCTGGCACTGCCATAACTGTCAATGGCGAGAGGTACAGGTTGATGATAACCAATTTTTGTGGCCTAAATAGGAAGATATGAATCTCAACAACATGTGGTTCCAACAGGATGGCGCTACCTGCCACACAGTGCATGCAACAACGAATCTTCTGCACGACAAATTCAACAGCATGGTTATCTTGTGTTTCAGCGATGTCAATTGGCCATCGAGATTGTGTGATTTAATGCCATTAGACTTTATCTTGTGGGGCTACGTTAAATCATGAGTTTATGCAAATAAGCCCTGGCTACTATTGATTTGGGAGAATGCCTTAAGCATCTATGAGCTACATCAATTTATATTTATGAGTTACATATAACAATATCAGTCAAGCAAATAAAGCTAGCACTACAACACATATGGCACCATAAATGTTACAGGTTGTAAGGAACTGAGTCTGAGCTATATTGTTATTTAATTTTTATTTTGCTTTTTATTCTATTTTTGTTTGGGGTTTATGTTTAGTTAGGATGAAGGTTCCCTCACCACTCACCTTAGTAACAAAAAAGAAACAAAAACAGACGAAGAAAAAACCAACTCATCGACTAGACAAAGCGCCATAGGGAAACTAATGCGCACTTGTGCTCCCAGGCAGAAGTTTGAAAGAAGTTCCTCAGAAAGAAGGGGGGACACCCCACACACACAAAGTAGAAAACTTGCTAAACCTTGATAAACATCCTGAATATGTAATAAAAAAGAATAATGTAAAAGGATTTTACGAGAAATGTCAGAAACTAGACTGCACAGGAAAAGACATGCAAATTTATTGTTAGGCATTAAGTATGTAAATGAGGGGAGTGATTTGAGACATAATTGTAATGTCACCTCAGAGTACAAAACAAGCATGAACAGAGAAGACAAGCAAGGTGAGCCTCAGCCAGGGATAGAGCGAGGTGAATTCCAGAGTGAGATTGGAAGCAAGTCTTGTGGATAGCGATAGGAGTGGTTCAAAGGAAAAGTGGATTAAAAAAAAGGTTCCTAGTATTGAGGTAACGGATAGGATCGTAGTTCGTAAGATTCCCTGTACATAGTTTAATTTATTGATATTGTCAAGTTCCAAGGGGGAATAGTTCATAAGTTATAGTAAGTAACTTGAATTATTTTTGTCAGGTTTTTCGAATTGTTTCTTTTCGTTGAATAAATTGTTTTTGATTCTTACTAATTTGTACGTAGAGAATAATTGAGTTAACATTAAATATTTGAGTTCCTTACTGACCCATGTACATAGTTATTTCCGGAGCACACGTAAGCTGGGTCTGGCATACTAACCACAAACCCGTGTAAAGTACCCGTTAGGTTAACGATCGTAAAGTTCGGCGATAGTCCCAAACGTCTTACTGGCACATAGTTCCTTGTCATATAAAAAAATCAAATAGTACTTGGTAATTAAGTAAATAATCATTTGAATGCCTAAGGTGAGCAAGAGCAGTATAGTCATATAAATATTTTGTCTATTGAAACCTGTTTCTCAAAATATGAAACTAGATAAAATAAATATACAGTCAAAGTCTGCACACGTTGACTCACCAAGGGGAAGTGAAAATGTGTTGAGTTATCTGATATGACGAATAAAATGAAGTTGAAAAAAAACCACAAAACTACAATTAGGAAAATACAGTACTGCTTTATACAGTACCTGCAATGTATCTCTCTGACCATCTAACAGTGGCACTAAAGTTGGTTTCTACTTCAAGTACCTCAGCGATTTCCATCGCTTTTTGTTTCAGTATTAGCCCTGAAACAGGAAAATTTGATGAATGAATCTGCTTTAGCACACATACCAGAGCTCTTTGTACGGTGACTTTCTCTGTCATTTTTGAGACAGCCATGACAAAGACCCAAAAAAAGTTTCTTAAATTCCTCTCTTTTCTTCAGAATTCCCACCAATGTTGCCTTTGAAGGTTTTCTTGTTTCGCAAATTTGGCTTGCAAAGTTTTATTAAATTCAAATTCAGATACAAGTTTGTATTTTTCCTTCAGCATTGTTAAGTTTCAGATACTCATTTCTAACGCAAAGTGAAACACTTCCTGCAAATAATGCATGAATGAATGGTGAGAAAATGCAAAATCAAATTCTGTTGTGACATTAAGCTGTGTGGTGTAAACTCATTTTTTTCAGGACGGGAGTCGACTTAGCCAACGTCTAATTGAGTGTGGGACAGAAAAAGTATGTCAATTTATCCTGTGATAGCGAGTTAAATGGTGTTGAGTAAACCAGAGTTTTTTAACATTAACGCCTATGTAGGTCGGCCAGGACCACAGAAAACTGACTACTTAACCGACGGTGTCTAGTTATACCTATGATGCCTTATGCAGACTCGACTACTATATATATATTTTTTGTACTGGTAGAGTCAATTTATGTAATTTTCAATAGTGTAAAAAGCCCATATGAAATGAATACTCTGCATAAATCAAGAGACAAGTGTAAATAGTTTAAGAAATTTTGTGAGGAATAAGCCAAAATCATTTATTTTTCAAAAATTATTACCATTAATTCAATGTTATTTAAAATATATTACTCATTTAGTTTAATAAGTAATTCTTTATAAATTAATATGTAATAAATTAATTTTTAAGGAATTAATGCAGTAACAAAAAATAAAAAGGTATGAGAACTTACCTGAGGATCAAATTCAATAAGATATAAGAACACGACGTCCTCTCTTCTTGTTCGAATAGCAGTGTGTAAAGGATATTCCGTTTTGGTTTTGAACATTTGATATAATAAAGGGGCACTCATGTGAGCAAAATCTTCACTTGAAAAATCATTCTAAAAAATCAAGTCATTAATATTAAGTTATAAAATTTAATAATCTTGTATTGAGTCATTATTATTTGGTATATGTAACTTTTTAGTCTAATAGAATAAAAATATGGATAATTACATTATTTATGTATGTTTATTGAACCAAATACAGTTTAAAAGTATATTTAATGTATTGAAAATCTCTCTCTAAAACAAGAATTTATCAATTTACTGATTATTTATAAATTTATCATTGCTTCTTAAAGTTTATTTTATAATATATGTATGTAAAGTACAAATAATATCATAAAGTATTATAATGTATTTAATGTTAATAATAATATAATATAGTGTGTGTTCAGAAAGTCACTGTAAACTTTTCTAATCATATTTTTGCATTATTTCAAAAGATGTGTGGCCTCTTGTTCACCAGATCTAAATCTACAAACTTTTATCTATGGGGAGCAGCAAAATCTGTAGTGTGTTCAGATTGTCCATGCACGCTGGATGACTTGAAAGCAGCAATAACAGCATTCATTCAGTCTTTCAAGAGAGCAACTGATAGCAATATTTAGAAATGAAATAAGAAGGATCCAAGCCTGAACTGATGCTAATGTGAGTCACTTTCAACATTGTTTATAATTGTCATTCATGTTTACCTCCTGTATTCTATATTGAAATATGTCTGTTAATAAATATGTAAGTGAACAGTGACTTTCTGAACAGCTTGTATTTAATGTATAATGGTTAAATAGCAGAAATGGTAAAGACATCAGTCTACTTCCCTAGAGAACTAGAGATTAAATTCACGTAGAAAATATTGAATTTTTCCAGGGTGATCTGTTCCTGATAGGTTAAAACCCATCCATCACCACCCAGCTTACCCCACATCCTAACTGAATAATATTTAATCGTTGTAGTTTGTTGAATTCTGCTCAAAGTCATTTCAATTCTGTTTGAAAACTTGATGTCACTGTGTAACTATCAAAAAACACTGTTCTCCATCATTAAGAAGTAGATCTTTCTAACAAAATATATTTGTTTTAAGCATTAAAGATTATTTTATTATATACATTGAATTTTGTTATGCAGTCATCTTTCCATAATTGTGATCAATAAATAACTGCATTATCAGCATGCAGGAATAAAAAGCTAAATATACAGCACATGTATAATTCAATGATATAAACTAAAAATAAATAATCAAAATGGAATCCACAGAAATTTAAGAATTGAAGATAATAAAAAACAGATACAAAGCATTATGTAATGATTTGCAACTTAAATTATATTAAGAACTTACCCAATGATTAGAAATCAGCTCTGAGCAATGATTCTTTAAAGCTTCGGCACCGATTTCATCCGCCGTTTGATAAAATTTAACACAATTCGTAACATTAACTGATGACATTAAAGCTTTCTCACATCTAAATAAAAAAAGGATTTCAAAATAATTTTTTCTTTATATGTAACATTTACTAAATTAAAAGTGTTATTAAAATTAGGAAGTAAATTAATAAAAATTAAAATATTTTAAAACATCTTAGTAATGAAATTATTATTACTCTTTCATAATTTATTATAATTTTTTAGAACAGATGTTCTTAAGAGTTATTGTTATAAGTAAAATGGTTTGTGATAAAATTTAACACAATTTGTAAGACCCCCAAACAAAAAAAGAAGTAAAAAAGGGGAAAAAACCATTTCTCTGTTTTTTGACATTTTTGGGTTCAGAGGTCTCAAAGTATGAAGGTTTGCAGAAACCCAGAAGTCAAAATTTGACATGATTACAATATTTTCCATAGTATATACATAACATCTGGATAAGTAAAAACTGATAAACTGTAAATATATAAAGTAATATTAAACACAAAACTAGACTCAAAGTGTAAATAATTCCATTTTCTTGTTAATGCATTGAAATTTTCCATTATTAATTTTCTAGAACTAAGTGTTTTTACTTAATAGATTATTATGATCATCAATCATCAAAACTCTGATAAATAGTAAACAGTGTTTTTGTACTGTTATTATACATATAGAGTCACAGCAGTGAGTCTATGCTAGATAAAAAGCAACTGACTAACTATATATAAATTCAGAAATCAGAGATGCCAATTTTTGGGGGTTTATTTCTCTACCCCCAAACACCTGAAATAATTCTGAACACATCTATTGAAAGATAACTGTTCTGTCTGGAGTGGATATGTTGTTTATCAGATGGCAGCGAGATGATTTGTTGAATGCTTGTTGTAAAAAACAATTTTTTTTTACACTGTTACCAAAACTTCTTAAGGGAAATAGATACGTGATATTTATAAGAAATTTCAACAGTTCAGTAAACTTTACCATTTGTATTGTAAAATTAAAGACAATCCAGCTTTTCTTCTTTGAAGTGTGAGCAATGGAAGCAACAATCAAACTTTTTTGGTTGAAGTGTTGATAGCTGCTTCCTGCACACTCCAGATATGCAGATTTGCTTGTATCAGTTTGTCTATTCTGTGGTGCGGCGGTCCCCAACTTTTTTATCGCCGCAGACTGGTCAACGTTTGATATTTTACCACGGCCCACTGAGGGGGGACATTGATTGTTTATATTTTAGATTGATTTAATTTAATAACTTTAATTTAATTGTATTTAAACATGACTTCAAAATAAAATACAGTTACACCAAAAAATGAATATAATGTGATTTAACATTTTAACTCACTAGAACACTAAATCAATGAGAGCCTTGAGCTTGTTTTTCTGCAACAAGACGGTTTCATCTGGGGGTAATAGAAGACAACAACACCCGAAGTGGGTTTCTTATGTCTAGTTTATTCCGTTGTTCCGTCGTCCATTAAAAGTCGCACAAACCCGAGAGAAATACACAATAGTAAATAAAATGGAAATACCAGTAATTTAATGTTCCTTGAGCGGCCCTGTACCATTTGATCCACGGACCGGTACTGGTCCGCGGCCTGGGGTTGGGGACACTTCTATAGTGCATTCATGCCCATGATTACCAGATCTGCCACATAGGATGTATCCTTAAGTAGTGTGCAAAATTTTGGATTTTTCTATAAAAGGATTGACAAAATATAAGCAATTGAAAAGTGCAAAAGTCACCAAAAAAGTTTTATCATCATCATTTTCTTAATCTGTCACTGCAGATGCTCCTAGATAAATCTACTGGGTCTAGAAAGCTCAAACTTTAAACTTAAGCATACCTTAATGTCAGTGAAGTGCTCATGAAACTTCAGGGACAGTAGGTCAAAGTTTACAGAGTTTCCCTTAAAAAAGTTGTTTGATATAAGTTTCTAATCAGTGCTGCCAGATATCATGTTCTTTCAGAAACTACAGAATAATGCAAACTTTCTCCTATTTGCTGTTGGATTTGATAAATTATCTTTTATTATATTTTGAATTTTTTTGCTAACTTATTCCATTATTGTATATATTCAGGCTTAGACTAATAAATAGATATTTTCGTTATTACATATAATAATTATTTTGGATTTTGATTCGTTAAGAATTTTTTGTTATTTATTGCCCACATAAAGTCCAGGCACGACACTAACTGAACCCTCATTTATTTAATGCACCATTAGAAAACTATCCTGGCTCTCGATGGAATCAAATAAGACATTACATAATTATATTTGTTCTTAATATTGAAAAACAACATTACCTTTCGATTAAACTATCTAATAAAAATCTTTTGGCAACTTTCATTAATTCTAAAATTGAAGAATCTGGGCGACTTAGGTCCACTTGATCGGTATAAACCCATTTTAGTAGGGTCAATCCAGTATCTAAAGGTATATCTGTAATATCAAAAATCACCATATTTATTATAGAAATCTAATAATATGAGATTACATGTAACCAATTTTATATTCTAATGGATGATTATCACAGTTAAAATTGCATAAGTATAGTTATTTTAAAGTCTTACAAATATTCTTTACACACAAAAATTAGTATCAAAACAATATTTCCTACAAGACTTTTGGTGCACAAATGGTAAAATTGCAGCTCAATGAGATGGTTGGGACCTTAGAGTTGAAGATCAGTCACATTAATGTAAAAAATTCAAAGGAACTGAATGTTTACATGTGATTTTTTGTGAGATATAGCTCCCTTGAAATCACCCTATCTGGAATTTTGAAGATCCTCAAAAAATGGGATAAACTTTAAAAATGAAAAATCCAGTACTACTACTCAAAATAATTGCTAAGAATCAACTACTTCCCCACATTACTAGAGATGGCTTATAGCTTATGAAACAAGAGAAATGCCATTACACTGACTACTTCAGAGTATGATCAGAGTCACATTAAGAGTCATATCTATTAAATCTAATGTTTATAGGTTGATTTTGGGAGACCAATATCCTGTGAAGGGTTACACACAGACCATCAGTTTGATATTTCTTACTCTTATGGGCATGGTCTACAGCTCTGGTAAGGTCTCATCTGCCTCATTCAAAGCTGCAATTTTACCATAACAACAGTTTGTTCTGAACATTAATTTTATTATATATTAATTTTTGTTTGTAGGTATTAAAAAAAATGATTGCTATTATATCCAGTAAGTCAGAGAAAAATGAGAGCAAAATTCCGCTGAAGGTAATCTGGTTGGTTGGTTGGATTTGGAGTGTTTGTGACACAAGGGTCTAGATCGGCCAAAGAATGCCAGGTCTTTTAGGTCTTAATATGTCATAATTATTATGTTGTATGTTCTAGAGTTCTGTATATAAGTTTATTGCCTTCAGATACACCACTGTAGATTGAATTTGACGATTATTCTTACCACATACCATACAGCTTGGTCATCTGTAGATGTATGTTGTTAAAGGTAGCGTTCTCTGTCTGTTTTGTACTCAGGGAATGTTAGTAATACATGTTGGATGTAAGTGGGGTGTGGCAAATTGAAGGTAATCTAATAAAATCAAACCAAGTAAGTAATTGAGAAATTACAGAAATTTTTTTTATATCTGTCATACTGTAGTTAAGTCCTTTGATATCTAAAGATAACAAGAATGGACTTAAAATATATGTTATGTTATGACAGAAATAAACTATTCTAAATAAATAGTAGACTTTCCACATCTCAGATCATTACACACTAAATTCTTATTACTTTTCATCAAAAAGAAAATTCTTCTCTTTTACCTGTTAAATATAAATGTTCTGCCTGATCCAAATTTGGAACACCCCAACTATTGCTCCTGGCTGATAAAACAAATTTGTGCGCCCTGATTGTTCTTCCATCTAAATGAACTGTAAGATCACTAAAAAACATTCTGTACATTAATTTACTAATAATTCGACTAAAAATTACTTAATTGAATTCCTAAACGTTAATTCAGCTATTGATAAAAATAATATTAACGTATACCTGTATAATTCTTTATCGAATAAATTTGCAACTGTTTTAAGTAATCTTGAAACAAACGAATCTTCATTCACATTACCAGTAGCAGCGAGGGCAATGCTATATTTCTTCTCCACTTCGGCAAGCCTCGACTGTAATTTCACATACTCTTCTCGTAACAGCGACAGGTGGCATTGTAATTTTGCCACCTCTACAAAGAAGAAAATGAAATATTAATATTCATTCATAAAATACATATAAAATTACTATTTTTCATTTAATTTGTAAGATTCATACAAATATTTTCTTAGTTTTAGTATAAAAATAAATTTGATGTGATCGATGTTTAAGCATATTTTAGATCAATCACGAGATTCACACAAAATTTAGTTTATGCAAGATATTAATTCAGAAGTAGAATTAGTGAGTATGAAATTTATCAATTGTCTTAAAAAAAGAATGCGCCACTTCATCATCATTTCTTTACTTGATTGTAAAATGACAATGAAATTTACACGAAATTTGACTCCGCTCAAGACATGATACGCGACTCCCTGTATCTTCCTGCTACATTGAGTTCTGTACGCCAAAATTTAATAGCATCGATGCCCTTTATATTCAAGTTACCATGCCAAAATTCATTTCTTAATCTTTACTCCATCTTAAAATATTAAAAAAAAAAATGCCAACACATTTACACACAATCCAGGAATTTTTTCCTGAATTATATCCAAGGCTAATCATAAATAAAATGATCGACTGCAGATGATAACGTACTTATAAATTATTAATTACAGTATATGTTTCTAGATCAACACGAACAAATTTTAATCGATTCGATCAATAGTGGTGTCGGAAATGTTAAACCTTCACTTACATAACAGTTAAGACGCATTTAATAAGAAAAAAATCCAATTAAATAATAAATAATTACTGAAATAAATTAGAAAATAATTTGAAGTCTGCTGATGAATACATTGAGAAAATAATAATGATGATTTAATCAATTTAAATGATACTTTGAATAAGTATGTTAAATACATATTTATAAAATTTAATTCTTAATAGCATGCTCCATTTAAAAGATGTTTTGTGTTATATAAGAGATAAAATATTTCATAGCAAAGGTCATAGTGTCATCTTGACTTTTCTTATATTTTTTTAATGTCTTGTTCTGCATCTGTGTAGATGTTTTCGACGATGTTAATTTAGTATATCATCATTTCAAAGATTATTTTATCATTATTGTATTGTATATGTGTTTTCATCATCATCCTTTGCCTCTTCCAGAATGCTTTTGCTATGTCAAATGGCAAATTATTGCCATTTATTCCCATCATCCCATGGTCTCCTCTGACAAAACCGATCTGCGTTCTCTGTTCTTTTTATTATATCTTTTAAAGAATTTTTTTTCGTGTGAGCAAAATTGAAAGAAAAATGAAAAGTTTAAAAGTTTAATAAATTATAAAGGCCATTTTGGAATTTTTACACACTTTCATAAAACGTAACAACTTATAATTAAAAACAATTCCTTAAAAATAAATAATAAATGCAACTAACCCGATAATTACTAAAAATATCAAACCGACAGCCAAATTCTTTTATTGGGTTATTAAGGCTAAATAATTACTAAGCAAGGCTGCCATCTCTTGTTAAATGTGATCATTTGAAAATTAATTTTAGAATATTCTCGGAGAAAAGACCAGCCTGAAGTGGGACTCGAACCCGTAACTCCTGCTTACCGTGCACAGTTATTGAAAGTTATGCTCTTTGTTATGTATATGTATATTATATCATTTGGGTGATACCAACCAGTAGAAAATTTGTTCCAATGAACTTATTAAAAATATATTTAAATTCCTTGCCATCGTCTTTGTGTCTTAACTACAGAGGAAGTCCGCATATTAACTAATGAGCGGATGCAAATTTCCTTAACCAGTTTTAATTGTAATTCACAGGACAACTTCTACTTACAAACAAACATTGATTACAACTTTTGATTACGTTGATTATATTAATGATTAGTTACTAATTAAATTGACTAGAGATAAGCAGGTATGTCGCCATCACGTATTAATTTTAATAATTATAATAAATTAATTTTTAATTTCGAAACTTCTGGAAGAAAAGAATCAGGCTGGAGTGGGACTCAAATCTACAACTTCCGCATACAGTACAGATACATTGTCAATTACACTATCCAACCATTAATTTACATATAACCATGCAGGTTATACATGGCAGATTGTCTGATACTAATTAATTAAATTAGGTTGTGACTAGGGAATTCGATCCCGGTCCTTATTTCTAATCCCGGGATTTCGGGATTATACTTATTCGATCCCGGGATCCCGGGATTATTTCGGTATTGAGGGTTAATAAAAAATAAGAAAATCTTACAGAAATCAACAAATCAAAATTTAGACAAAAATCAACATATTTTACAGTATACACCTAGCTAATTTAATCACTCTAACTAATCAGACTCAGAGTCAGACTAACCAGACTTAAAATCACTCAGTCTTCATGTTAAATTTATTCTTTTTTAAGCATCACTGAGATCTCTTTAAACTCACATAAATTGAAAAAACCTTTATGTAACAAACTATGCAAATAAACGTTGAAAATTAACAAAAATCTCTCTTAACATCGACTAAATAGACTACTTTCATATAACAACCTAGTAAGTAGGTAGTAAAGTAAGTTTCTTAGCAAAAAGTATTTAAAAATAATATTAATCAGTCACATTTTTCTTAAATATAAAGAAAACTAATCTAATAGGAACATTCTAATTTGAATTGCGAAAATATGATCTGAGAAATAACAACGCATCCAGTGTCTCATCACCAAGTCTGCTTCTCAATTTGTTGCACATATATGCAGCTGCTGAGAAAACGCGTTTAGGTTTGATGGAAGTTGGAGGAATCGTTAGTAAATACTTATAAGCTTCGAGGACACGGGGAGGATGGAAGAAAACAGTCCGGTCGACACGGATCGGGATTGTAGGAGTAAAGGCTACAATCCCGATTGTTTCGATCATTGTAAGCATGTCTTTCTAAAAATAAACGCGTTAATTTTGTAAATTCGGTCTCTGTGTGAGTCTCTCAGCGTCCAGCAAACCACTACCCCGAAACGTAAAAAGACTTTCTCGCATCATCCTGACAGATCGCGGGCAAGGCGAGGGTCGTAACCTTTTCACCTAAGGTCGACCCCCCTAAGCGAGAGGCGTCGGGTCTATATTAACCACACTGGCAAAACAAGATGGCTGACACATTGACAGGTAAAACGCACTGAGTAGTGCTCTCGACTGCGCCAGAAAATCGATTGGCGCCCGCGAAAATTCAAAAATACAAAAATGAAGTATATTACCAAGTAACCCAGTGAGAACTGCTTGCCTATCATTTTAGTTGAAAATACAAGAAGTTTTATTCCAAGCAAGCATCGCAAGCCCGCTTGGTTAATTTCTGCTGCTTGCTTGGAATAAAATTTCTTGTATTTTATATTAAAATGATAGGCAAGCAATTCTGTTAAAAGCACTGGCACTGAACGTTTCGCTTCATGCAGTCTATTTTGCAATTTTTTTAAAATGATGTCAATCCCGAAAATCCCGGTATTAGGAAAACTTAATCCCGAAAATTTTGGGACTGAAAAGTGGTCGGGATCCCGATTTTCGAGATCCCGGGATCAAATCCTCTAGTTGTGACTTATTGTCTCCTTTTTCTCTTCGGATCTCCTGGCATGATGTTTTTTCTTCTCCTTTTACGCACTTGAAATTACATAAATTGATTTGCAGACTTTATGATTAAAATTTCATTATATGAATTCTAGCCAATATAAATTTCTACTATGTAAATCATGTAAATGAAATGCAATTGTGTATAGAGATGAATACACTATCATTGAAAAATGAAATTATAACTCTATATATTATAAATATTTTCAAAAAATAACTGGAAGATTTATATAAATACATTGGGTGATTAGTTAACAAACAGTATGGACTATGAACAAATTAGACAACGAACACCTGACAGAACAATCACAAGAAGAAGTGACGCTGCTTTTAAGATTTGTAAAACTATATTTTAATGGCATCTGTACATGGTTTATGGAACAAGACTTTCACAATTGTATACATAATCTTTTTTGCAGTAGTTAATTTCTGTTCTCTGAATTTTCGTAAGTGCTTTTCTGAACTTTTTATTTATAAAAATGTAAACCTAAAAAGACTGGAGTGTCAAGAACTGTGTTCACTATAGAAACTAAGCAACAGATAATAGCCAAGGTAGAGAGTAGGCAGAAGATGTCTGATATTGTAGGCAGATGACTTCAACAGGTCAACAATAGATACAATTTTAGCTAAGAAAGCTATAATCAAAAAGACTCAAGCAGATAAAGGAGTAAAGAAAATAGCATTTGAGAAACAAAGATGTGCCATCCATGAAAAAATGAAGAGATTGCTTTTAGTTTGTTATTAAATGTAAATAAGGGTAGTAAGAAAGTATATAATTTTTTATTTATTTTTTGGGATCTTCAGAATAAATTAATCAAATTCCCACAAAAATCTATGGTAAATTGATAATCGATTAATGAACAATTTGGATAGTGAACACGATCTTGGAATGGATTGTGTTCTTTAACCAATCACGTACTGTACAAGAAAATATATTTTGTTAATATTTATGCAGTAAAAATAACACAAATCCCAATATTTAAGTAATAAAACTATAAATTACAACGCAACATACCGGGAAATTCTTAATAGCACACACAGAACCAATAACTGGTGTGAATAAAACAAAAAACTATCACAAGACAAACATTTTCCAACTCCTTCTGAGTTCTTCTACAGGCTCTATAACAGTTACCAGATAGAATATTGTTCAGAACATAAAAGCTCTTTTTGAAAGAAATATAAATTCAAAGTATGAGAATAAAAATTCAAAGCTGCGCATGTATTGTCCTGTGCATAACAAAAATTTAACCAATGACTAAACCGTTGTGTCAAGTAGAGTCTGCCAGGCCATCAACATCATTTCCTCCTTAAAATTTATACATGATGATGTAAAATTAACTTTTAAGATTTCTATGGCCTTCAACCATCTGAGGTGCTGTATGTGGGGAGTGGTGAGGAGGAATTTGGTCTATATGAAGTCCACCACAATTTCTATATCTGCTGTATAGGTAGAGAGGGCTGTGGAAGTTCTAGAA